GTGAGTGTATATAACAATGGTAATATAGTTTTTTATGCTTAAGTTGGGATGGGTTGAGCAACTTCATTTATTTATGCATATACAAATAGAGGAACATTCAGTAAAATGTGTATCACAGTAAGAGGTTAATGGACGTTACGGGACTCGTACAGTGAGCTTCCACTCCATCACCTTGAGCAGCTCCGGGTGCGTCAGGAACCGCTGCGGCCGGCTGGCAATCGCTTTAGGCAGCTCATCCTGGTACCTGAGCCAGAAGACACCCGGCATACCGATCAATGACAGCCAGGTGAACTACCAGTTCTTATACCACTTATTATATACACACTTGCAGACTATAATTAAACTTTAATTTCACTGCAAGGCATAATGATTACTTAGCGCATACCCCAACAGAGAACAGTATAGGTGGGGCAAAGACCATGCATGGTGACTTGCGAAAGTTTACTAATCAGGTACGTATGTTTATTGGACATTAAATATCTTTTTTATAATTATTAACTCCCGATACAATTATCATACAAGCATACAGTTTGTAAACACCATACCACAATTGTGTAATATATTGCTTACAAGATTGATATACTGAACACCAGGTTACACGAAATATATTACAATTGCTACAAAATATATAATTGGAGAAATACATTCCCTAGATTAAAACACTGTTTTTACTTCTCATACATTTTAAAAATTTACCAAATGACATTTTTTTGAATATAAACTTTATAAGGGGGGGGTTTGATAACTATACATTTATGTATAAAATATTGCTAAAATTCATGGGCTATTAAGAAGGTATGGAACATTGCTTTCATTAATCCAGAATCCACATTTTACCCGATTTTAATTAAATACGTTTATTTTTAGACTTCTTGCTCTACACCACTGCATGAAGTCTTCCTGAAAAGCTTTGGCGTACGGACGGACATTAAATACGCGCGCCTGCCGGCTGCCTCCATCTTGTGTCTGAAAGCACCGTTTATGGCAGTCGTGGACAGCTGATACTGAAGGGCTCACCATTTATCCAGGGGGAGCAGTTTGCCCGGCTTCTTCCCCTTAGCCATCGACTTCAGCTCCACCACTCGCCAGTAACTTTTATAGATCCGCCTCCATAGCGCTGGATCCTCGCAGGAAAACAGGAGCCTGTCCTCGGACATGTTAGGGGGCGGAACACTGGGACGGGCCGCGCACTCAGCGGCTGGATGCTGTTTTTTTATTCCGTTATAATGTGGAAACAAGCTACCATTTAATTATATATAGCTTTTGCAATGAAATGCACACTCCCCCGGCCAGACCTTCATACGGTTTACACCCTACATAGGAAAAGTCTGATTTACCACCACACGCCCCCTTAACTAAGGACCCAGCTGCTGTCACTTCAGGGCTCCACACCACCGAGTATTTTTTCCTGGTTTTAATTGCATCACACTATGATCATAAAACGTCTCACCGAGCCGCGATTAGCTTATTTTTTAATTAATTTGCCATACTGCCGTCCCCATAGCACGTCTCAGCCGGCTTCCGCTTCCTCCTTCCTGCGCAGGATGCTCCTGTCTCCAGCAAGGTCAGTCTCGGTTTTTTTTTTTTACTTGTCAAGCGAGCATTTTTATCACCCCCCCCCCCCCCCCGGGTGTTTACAAGCGACACTAAGTGAGCCGATCGCCCGGCAGCCTGAGCCACTGTGACCACGAATCGAATATTAGCGAGTTAGCATGTTAGCTGCTCGCCCCGTCCCGAGCTTAGCTAGCGAGCTAATTAGCCATAAATGACTAATACGACTGAACTACGGTTTACGGCGTTTTACGTCTGCTATACCAGACTGATCCATTTTTATTATGTCATACTAGATACTTGTGGTGCATATACAAGTACTATCAGACTGGGTAACTTTGGTGCCAGCGTTTGAGAACAGGGTGTACAGTGAAGTTGCACACACCTCGTGTTGAGGATCTTTTTTCAGGCAGACATGCATGCATAAATTGCAGGCATCCGTGCATGCAAGTAGCCGGACACAGCTTTGACCATTCATCGTCACAAACCTAAGATGAAGGCGATACGTTTTCTTCTGAATCAGTGTAGGAGGTAAGCGCCAGACATTTACCTGTCTCATCATTTTAACCGATATGAGAAAGTGTTTTTAATTCCGCCCTGTTCGCAAACTACACGCTGAAAGAACAGGAATGACATCACGTCTGCCTTTTTAATACATTTTTCAGATGAACTCTAAGGACTATCAAGTGACGACTTCATCTGTTGAGGCTGGGGTGGTATAACTTACACAACGTAAGTCGAACAATAATATCAAGATGACTAGTTGGTATACAAATAAAACAGTATCTTAAAAAAACAATCACGTTTTCTTTTGTAATTATACTGCCCTCCTCTGGTCCATTCTGAGTACAGCACGTATTCTAACTGTTGCGCCTTCTGTTGTCTGCCTGGCTTTGCAGACAATGGAGAAAATGACACGGGTGACCACAGCCCTGAGCAACAACACTATCACAGGCCGTACCATGTTCTGCCACCTGGATGCGCCAGCGAACGCCATCAGCGTGTGCCGGGATGCAGCTCAAGTGGTGGTGGCGGGCCGCAACATCTTTAAGATCTACACCCTGGAGGAGGAGCAGTTTGTGGAGAAGCTGAACTTGCGCGTGGGACGCCGGCCGTCACTGAACTTCAGCTGTGCTGACGTCATGTGGCACCAGATGGACGAGAACCTGCTGGCCACGGCCGCCACCAACGGCGCTGTGGTCACCTGGAACCTGGGCAAGCCGTCGCGGAACAAGCAGGACCAGCTCTTCACTGAGCACAGGCGCACAGTCAATAAAGTGTGTTTCCACCCCACGGAGGTCTACATGCTGCTCAGCGGTTCCCAGGACGGCTATATGAAGTGTTTTGATCTCCGCAAGAAGGAATCTGTCAGCACTTTCTCAGGTACCTCCATCCATGCAGCCTGTATCACCCCAGTGAAATGAAATGATGCTTTATTTGCCATTTGCCGTATAGGTACTGAAATGAACTGGGTCAGCAATTTGCCCACTGTTCCTGGAGCATTCCTATGGGTTAAGGGCCTCACTCAAGGACCCAAAACAGACAGGACTTTTCTGCCGGGGATAGGATTCGAACTGGTGCCCTGGTGACATCTTTAATGCAGCGTCCATCTCTGTGTGTGTGTTTTTACCGTTTAATAACAGGGCAGTCGGAAAGCGTGCGAGACGTGCAGTTCAGCATGCGGGATTATTTCACGTTCGCCGCGTCATTTGAGAACGGCAATGTTCAGCTGTGGGACATCAGGCGCCCAGACCGGTACGAGAGGATGTTCACCGCCCATACCGGACCCGTCTTCTGCTGCGATTGGCACCCAGAGGACAGGTCGGTGATTTCTTATCTCGTTCTCATTCGCCGCTTGAGTAAAAAGCCGGGTGTGCTAATGATTGCGTATTGCCAATACTGACTCGATGTCATGTGACCTGGCTTATGTAGGGGTTGGCTGGCCACGGGAGGACGTGACAAGATGGTCAAAGTGTGGGACATGACCACCAACCGGGCAAAAGAGATATACTGTGTGCAGACCATCGCTTCGGTGGCCCGAGTCAAATGGCGACCGGAGAAGAAGTGGCATCTGGCCACGTGTTCCATGATGGTGGACCACAACATCTACGTGTGGGACGTGCGTCGGCCCTACATCCCCTTTGCCACCTTCGAGGAGCACAAGGACGTCACCACCGGCATCGTGTGGCGCCACCTCCACGACCCCAACTTCCTGCTATCAGGTTCCAAGGACAGCACCCTCTACCAGCACATGTTCAAGGACGCCAGTCGTCCCGAGGACAAGGCCAACCCGGAGGGCCTCTGTTTCGGCCTCTTTGGCGACCTCGCCTTCGCCGCCAAGGAGAGTCTCATCAGCGGCGACTCCAACCGCAAGCCCTACGCCGGCGGCGACCGCCGGCACCCTATCTTCTTCTTCAAGAAGCCCGACCTCACCGAGCAGTTCGCTCACGTCTCCAGCGCCCTCAGTGTCTTCGAGACGGACCTGGAGAGCCACCGCATGGACTGGTTCGTCAAGACGGCCCGGCTGTACCTGCTCAGCGGGAAGCCTTTTACCGAGCTTTGCGAGCACAACGCCAAGGTGGCCAAGGAGCTCAACCGGCCGCAGGTTGTTACCACACACCCTCACTCCTATGTGTGCGAGTTCACTGAACCAAAGAAAATTGTGGTACAGTAACATATTCTGGCTTCTTTCATGTTTAAAGGTTTCAACGACATGGACGATGTTAAGGATTATGTTTTCAGACCCGGGTAACCTCAACACGGCAGCACCAAACCACAATATCAGTAAACTGGGTGCCCTGCCCTTAATGAACAGGTAGGATTTATACTGGTTTATGCTCAGGCAGTGTTAAGATAATATGGTATATCACAGTCTTTTGGGTGTTCTGCGGTTTTTTATTTTATTTTTTAAAAGATGCTAGAGATCAGGTTTATTTTGTCTACCCCACAATAGACACCCTGCTAAAAAAAAACCAGTGTTGCTTTTGAAGATATCATCAAAATAACATATAATGTGATGTAATGTCTGAATGGTATGAAAAATTAGATACCGCCCAGGCCTATAATGGATTCTCTTCTTTTTAAATAGATGAATGGTAAGATTTAGACTCTAAATTTACCATATATTTTTGACAATGGAGTGATTATTATTATTTTTTTTGCAGTGGAGAATGAGCTTTTCGGGCTGAGAATTTTACTCGGATTGAGGCATATTGCCTTTTGTATGGTTCTAACCTTGTGGTGTTTTTGTCAGCTTCAACATGAAAGAAATACCAGCAGGGCTGGGAAATGAGACCCGTCTAGACCGCAGCAAGGGAGAGATCAGGCAGGACAACATCCACATGGATCCTGGAATCCCTCTCATCAGCAACAATGACGGTAATTTCCCCAGCAGCCTAATAATCACTTATTAATTTAGTTATAAATGGGCCATTATATGATCAGTGTGCCTTTCAGGGAATATGTGTTTGCATTGGTATTCCCTTTGTGTAGAAACTGGTTCTGCAACTGCTGAATGAATCAGTTTTTTTGCTGACATAATAGTTTCAATACATTTTCCCTGCAGTGTCCTCTGAAATTGTCCTCTCTCCTGTGATTTGTTGTTTGTTATATTGTCATGTATTAATTACTGTCTGCAGGGAATCCACAGGGAATGTGTGGCCGTGACATTTTGTCTTAAAATCTCTCCATGCCTGGGATGCTTGAATGTTCCTCTCTTTAGAAAATGAGGAGACGGAAGGGAGTGAGGGACAGGCAGACATGTTTGGTGATGCGGAGCTGGATGATGACGACCTCTATTCCATGGAGCACGACAACCAAGCCGGTGAGTTTCTCTCACTGCAGACGACAGGGCCTCTGATTAGTCCAACTGATCCACTGAAGTGATCTGGAAAAGCTGGGCCACTTCCTCAGCAAGAGCTGGACAAAGCTGGTTGACGAAGCTGATTCCCCACTTGTAGGTGAGGAACCGGAATACATCCTCCCCCAGGAGGCCTTCCCTCTGCGGCACGAGATCATGGACAACCCTTCAGCGCCGGAGCACCTCCAGGACAAGGCCGACTCGCCGCACGTCAGCGGAAACGAGGCCGAGAGCGTCTGCCTGACGCCCATCGAGTCCTTCTCGCTCATCTCTGTGTCGCAGCCGCTGTTCAGCCTTCACCTGCCGCCCTCCTTCTTCAGCCCCGTGGTGCGCGAGATGCTGCTCTACTACGCCGAGCAGGGTGACGTGCAGATGGCCGTATCTGTGCTCATCGTGCTGGGCGACCGCATCCGACGCGAGATCGACGACTTGACGCAGGTCGGTGGCTCGGCGGAGCGAAACGAAACAATGCTGTGCTCAGCGTCAAGTTAAGACAAGCGGCCCTCAATAAAGTATCACTGTTTATTGTCAAACCATCCATATGTAGGTATACAGATAAGCACGATAATGTTCCCGTAGGACCATGGTGTAATATACGATATACCTACAAGTATGTGGACACCCCTATTAATTATAGCAATTGGCTTAATTAAGCAAAACAAATTGCTGACACAGGTTAATTAAGCACACAGTCACTCATCCTCCTGCAGCAGAAATTAGCAGCAGTGTGCATGGTTGTAAAGAGGAAGATAGATGCACAGACCGTCGATTTGGCGCCATCGTATGACACTGTCTTTCCCAAAAGTCAATTTGCCACATTTCTGCCCAGCTAGAGCTGCCCTGGTCAACTTCAAGTGAAATGATTGTGAAGGTCAAAAGTGTCTGGGAGCAAATTCAGCTGAAATGTCACAGAAGCTCACAGAAAGGGACCTGATCACCCAACATCAATACCCAGCCTGAATGGCAGTAAATCCCAGCATCAATGTTCCTCAATCATATCTAATGAAAAACTGTAAAGGCTATTATGGCAACAATGGACTGACCGACTTTATATTTATACCCTTGGTTTCAGAATGAGATGTTGGACAAACTGGTGTCCACATCCTTTTGGCCATATAGTGTATACAGACAGAATTTGATGAGGAGAGGGTTTCATAATCATTTAAAAGTGCAAAAAAACAATGCAGCGGCAAGCAAGGGGGCTGGAGTCAAGGCTGAATATGCAAAGTGCATTAAGCCTGTAGTCTTGATCATCATTATGCTGACATTCAGAGGGCGAGAGGTACTGTACGTGCAGAACGTCATGTGACAGAGAGCCCCGGGTGCTGTTTGTCCCATCGCAGGAGCACTGGTACATGTCCTACATCGACCTGCTGCAGCGCTTCGAGCTGTGGAACGTCTCCAACGAGGTCATCAAGCTGAGCACATGCAGTGCCATCAACTGCCTGAACCAGGCTTCCACCACACTGCACATTAACTGCAGCAACTGCAAGAGACCCATGAGTAACAAGGGCTGGATCTGCGACAGGTGGGTCCGGGGGGCGGGGCATCACGTACGCAGCTGGGCTCTTGGTGTTTCATGGTCACAGGACTTCCTGTGCACCCCGGTCCTGTTTCTGGGTCAAGGAAATTACTTCTGTGCAAACTAGGCTTCAAAACAGTGTAATTCTCCGGTTTGAAGGTCAGCCACAGCGGTGTCTGGGAGTGGCTTCGATTGTTTAATCCGGCCCTTCCTGTTTCCCAGGTGCCACCAGTGTGCCAGCATTTGCGCGGTTTGCCACCACGTGGTGAAGGGCCTGTTCGTGTGGTGCCAGGGCTGCAGCCACGGCGGGCACCTGGAGCACATCATGAACTGGCTGAAGAGCAGCTCGCACTGCCCAGCCGGCTGTGGGCACCAGTGCGAGTACACCTGAGCTCCGTAGCCGAGTGTGCCGGCCCCGGCTGGCGTCTTTGCCGTCAAGGTGCTGCTGGAACGACCTAGGTTGTCTGGGAAGTGCAGTGGAAGCCCGCTGTCTCAGGGCAGGTGACGTCTTGAGTGTGTCCCCCCCCACAGACTCCCAAACTGCTAAGGTTAGCTGGCTGCACTAACCTGTTGAGATACAGAACCTGATGTTCTAGCACTGCTAAGGAGTTGAGTTCCAATGGAACGACAGTGAGTCTGTGTTACTTGGTGCTATTTTCATCTGAGGCCACTTGCAGTCAAAGCAGGACCGGGTCCTTCCTTGCGGTAGAGTATTCACCGCAACTCTGGGCTGGATTTGGGTGGGGGGCGGTTGGTGGAGATAAAGGAATGGAAGGACCCTACAATAAAGATCTGTGACCTGTGTTTGGCCATATTTATGCTGCTTTGTGTTGATTCATTCAATCAAGGTACATTATCTGTAAATGAATTGCAAGGGAATAGACATTAAAGTTTGAGCAAATTTTAGAAAACATGCAACGTGAAGGATTTTTTTTCAGAACCCAACATAAAGTCCCAGTACTGTTAATTGAGGGTCCCTGTGTGGCCTGGACCTTTATCTACATTGGTCAGAACAACAGAGTAACACACACTTTCCCTGTGCTACCCCCCCAATAACAGAGTATGGATTTTAATGTGTTACTATAGAATTACTTTCTAGTTCCTTCTGGTATGTTGTAGAGCTGCAGTAGGATGTAGATAATTCCTTTTTTTAAATTTGAACATTGCTGCTGGTCTGGCTTTGTCTGTAAACTGTTCATCGTTTGTTTGAGTTCATGAGAGCATTTTAATGGCTGTTTTTGAAGTATGATGGTCTCCAATGTAAACCACAGGTTTTTATATATATATATTAATAAAATGTACAGTACACTGAACACTTGTTTTATCACATTCTTATTTGCAAGTAAAAAGGACAGACTCAGGTTCATGTGTAATTTAATGTAATGAATATTTTACCCTCCAGCCTGACCTTATATGGGCTTAAACATTGTCGTGATTTTCCTGCTTAGTTAATTATTTGCCAGTTTCTTAATACATGGAGTATTGAAACAGCCCAGTTGCAAAACTCAGAGGGAAGGACAGTTTGCATACACTGTCTGCATGTCTAACATCTATCAGTGTGTAAAGTTGCTTGTAAGAGGTAATAGATTCTCTGTGTACTAAAATTTGTTCTTTCAGATACACACAAAAAGTGAGTAAAGTGAGAGAAATCAGAAAGGTTTACTAATAACTCAGCCAATTATATTGAAGGTGTTTTTTGTATACACACAATATATATTGTCTTTCCATACATCACTGGATTTGTGAAAAGACTACATACATTAAAAAGATGAGTTCAGCTTTGGCTTAGTTTGTTTCAGTTAATTTATAGTAGTTTGAATGCTGCTATCGTCTCAGCCCTCACTGTTTTAAATGCTGAGGTATTGATTCATTTTCAGTGCACAGCAGGAATATTCTTCAGGATAACCTTCTGATGAGCGCATTGTCTTCATTAGAGAAATGTCTTGGGGCCTTGGTGTATATTGAGGACTGACGGTCCATCAGTAATGACGTCGTATCTGATTATTCATTGATTCTCTTAGACACAACTGGAGACCTTATAGGCTTGAACATCTCCATTCACTGAAGCTACCTGTGATTAATGTTGAGTGATGCTGATCATAAAGTTCAGACTTTAGCAGTGGGGAAGTGGAAAGGTAGCCTTGACCTGTATGAGGGCACCTGATTCACACTTTGAAAGAGCATTTGTGGCCTGAGAGACGATGCCCTTCCATTTTAGATTTTTATTATATTCTACTTCTGTTTATACTATTATGTGTGGTAACATACTTATTCAAAACTAAACAGTTTGTTTTGTTATTTAACTCTGTGGTTCTTTAAAGCCACTTTTAACTTCACCCATGGGCACAACTGTGTATCTTTAATAGAGCAATTCAAGTTAGATACCTTGCTCAAGGGTACTATAGCAATGCTCCTCCTGGGACTCGAATGGGCAAACTTCATTCAGCACATCCATCTCGTTAAATGCAACCTCCCACCTCCTATTCATTGTAACTCCACTGGGCACTGGGTAATTGAACCCCAGCCAACCCGATTATACGTCCCACAGACTACAGTGAAGATTCTGTGGTGTCAGTAGAGGGATATCACATTACCCCCCCCCCCCCCCCCCCACATTAATTTCTCTTTGCTCTGTTATGAGGTCAAATGAAAATAGTTATTTTTCTACTTGTATAACAACTGTATAATAAAAAAGTATTGTATTGAAAAATAGTTAGAAAATGAATTAAAAACCCCCTTGATATTAACCTAACGTGCGTCAGGTGTATTGCATTGCCGCAAGATCCTGCCATGTTAAATTGGATGCATAGAAAATACATGTCTTTGAGGTCCAGGATGAGAACCATTTCTTGTCAGTTAGAGGTTTGTGTTTAAGGTGGGATGTGCCCAACGAACACATTCTGCTATTTGGACTGCACTTCAATCCAAATTGGAATCTTTAAATTTGTATTTCAGTGTTTACTCTTGAGAGTGATTCATTCTGTAAATGAAAGATCTTTTTTTTCTGGTTTTGGGGGAAAAAATGAGATTGTGCAAGTATATAAATTAGCTTGGATATATCATCACCTTGTGTTGATAATTATTACATCATGCATAACTTAAAGTACATATCTGCATGAATATAAACTTCAGTCCAATAACTTCAGCCCCTTACCAGAAATCTTTCCTCCTCTTTTATCACGTCGATTTTCATGTTACAAAAACAATCTGTCTCAAAAAACTCAGAAAACTGCAAACAAGGGCAGAAGTAAATGATGGACACAGAAAACTAAATAAATTATTACCTCATGTATAAAAATGCCAATGGCCATTCTGGATATAGGCCAAGTTACTCATTATTTTGGCTGCCATGATTAAAAGACCAAATATGAATGACGATAGAATGCATTTGCAGGTGCTTCACTAAGGAAGCCTGTAGATCAGGGGTGGGGAACCTGATCCATGCAGGGCCGGTGTGGGTCCGCGCGGGTCTTCAGGATGACCTCTCAATCAGTCCAATCCATGGAAAAGATTCCCCTCCCCTGCTGTATATCCTGATGTTCCCTGAATGAATGGTGATGTCACCATGAATATCTGAGGGAAAGTTGTCAGCTTCCTTGGAAACCTCAACCCTGTCGTCCACCCACCAATTCAAGGCAAAACTGCTATGTTAATGTGTGGGTGTCCCTCAGAGGTGTGAGCAGACAGTCAGCTTGGAGCTTTCCAGAGTGATACGGCGGTCATACACCCAAAACGGTGAAAATTTGAATTAACTCTAAACCGAAATCCAATTTTAATGAATCATACGAAAATAAACTTTTTTTTGTCACTGGGTGTAACACTAGAAAACGCCAATACGTTTCGTTTCTAGGTTTTTCTCTGACTGCCTCACTTCATCCCAAGTAACAGGTTAGACTAGTGATGGGCGATACACCCTAAAAATCACAATATCTTCAGAGATTTACACAATATTCTAAAATTCATACAGAATGTAGAAATCAGTCAAATGTTAATTATGCAAGAAAACAAGTGTGTAGGCCATATCACCATATGACATTCAGATTGAGATCTATTAATATTCATAATCATAGTATGATATTGTATCAATGTGTGACCCAGCACCAACTCTGGTTAATACTTTAATCCCGAGATTGAAACAAAATGAATTATCAACCAGCTTGTAACCCCTGTGTCGTCCTGTGTCTTTTAGTCCACTATGTTTAATAAAACAGCATAACCCACACCAATAGCCAGTGCAACTGTAACATGTCTAGTCCAAGACTGCTCACTTAAAACAGAGACAAGTGTTGTTAAAATTCATCTGATGCATAGAAAAAGTAAGATTTTAATCTTGAATTGGTTTGACTTCATTTAAACATGAGGCAAATCACACAGACATTAAAAGGAGTAGGAACGATCCGACAGCCTAATTATGCCATTACATTTAAGGGAAAAACTATGAATCACAACACAATTTGCACTTATGAAAACAATGAGTTATAAGACTTGGTGATTTACAGGATGCCAAATTTGGAGGGAGGGGGGTTGTTCACACCTGAAGGCCCTGGGACTCATTTACATTACACAGCATTCCAAACCAAAGGAGCTTATACCCAAAAAGCACATAGAGGCGTCTTTCTCAACCCAGTCACTCCCAGCTTCTAACACTCCTGTACCAGAAACCTGGTGCTCTTGATTGTTTGGTTCAGGTGTGCTGGGAGCAAAAATGTGGACCGTCGGTCGGTTCCTGAGGACTGGGATGAGAAAGACGCCTCTAATGAGGAATCACAATATAATCATTTCAAATAATCAAAATTTGATGAATCCCACACAAAATATCCACCCTACCTCTGCCCTGTTCAAGTAATGCAGTTTATCTATTAGACATATTACTTAAATAAAATAATATTTAAGATGGCAATTCTGGTGAAACTCAAACAGCATTATTTGTATCCTTGTTCAATCTCCATACATTGAAACTTATTAAAACCAATGAATCCGCAGAAAATTACTAGTTCTGACTAGTACCGGGAGCTGGTGTGGGGGGGGTCTGTCTGGCGGTCCCAGAGTACCAGGTTAAGAAACACTGGCACAGAGCAGAAGGCCAGCAGACCCGGACAGTGGCCGTACCCAGCAGGTCACACATCCCCGACTGAAGCCTGCTGAGATCACGTTTCCTGCTCCGTGTTCCACACTGCAGCCACCAACACCAGGTGGCGCTAGCACGGGCTGACATTTAGGGCCACATCTGCCCTCCAGCCCGATTGTCTTCTCCTCGGCCAGCTGCTGCTGCACCCACATTTCTCCAGCAAGCCTGTACAGGGTGGCGCCGTCACCCTCCGTCAGGAATGGTTTCTTCAAGAAAACCTGAGAAGATGGAGAGAACGATGACACCTCCGGAAAAAAGCGAGGAATCGGAGACTCATATCGAGGGTGATACTTTCAAACAAACCATTTAAAGTAGCAGGTCCCAGCTAGGACTCCCACTGCTGGGTGAGCTTCTCAGCAGTACTCAGTCCCCTCAGGTTTTTGGTCACCACGTGGACAGTTTTTTCTACAAGACCAAAGAAGGCTAGACACTTAAGGCATCGCTAGTACGGAAAAACACTACATCATTACTTAGGCATCATACAGTCAGGACTGAAGAGTTACTTCCAAACAACTCAGCAAGCCTGACTCATCAATCTCGATTTAGGCCTGACATGGACTGACTTGAGTCTTACCCATCTCTGTCTCATACGCGTCCAATTTCAGCATAAGCTCTGACAGGCTGAGGGACTTAAAATCTTCCAGAACATTATTTCCTGTAAGACAACGCAAAGTCACAACTGCAGCAGTATCTGGCTCCCTACCAGACGGCAATGTATTATGTCACACTTACAGCCAAAAACGTTTTAAATAATAGAGTTTTACATAATCTGTAGGCAAAAAAAAAAAAAAAAAAAAAACTTGCCTTTTCCATCAGTCTCTCCCAGCAGCTTGTGTAGGCCTACATCACAATGTGCAATTACTCCATCACTTGGCAGGCGGGAGAAGAGCTCCATCTGACAGGCCCTGTCCATCACCACACAAGTACAAGTGTGTCATCAATCACTGATCATTCCCTAGTCAACCTCTGTATAGCCTCAAGCAGTCTTAGCCTTAGAACAAAACTCACACTCCTCCTTGAGGGTTTCTGCTGAATTACCCAAATGCTATGATTCTTTGGTCGAACCATTTCACGAAGGTGATGGGGGGGGGGGCTGCAGATTTGCCACCCAGTATGCCGTATGCCCCTCACCTCACTGTGTCCAGCGCCGAGCTCAGCTCCTGGGCCAGCCTGTGTGTTTCCACCAGCTCGGTCTGCACTCTCCTCCAGGGCACCTTATCCTCCATCAGACAGCCCTCCATCACGGTACGCAGCTCCCTCTCCTGCAGCACCTGTGCCTGCAGACTCTCCACCTCCGCACAGCGCTGCCGTGGAAGCAGAGCCGGGCGGGTTAAAGGTCACACAGCAACGACACCTGGAGGTGGAAGCCTCTGAACAATAACTGATGACCAGATGAATATTACTAGGACACAAGCTTACAAACCTTAAACGCCAGCTGGAAACCAGTTAAAACCAGAAGCTTAGGTTAGAAGCTTTTTCTTACTATGGTAAAAGCACAGTCCTTAAGTTCTAAATTAAAATACTACCAACACATACATGGATAAACCAGACTAACTAGGCTTCTACTCATTTGTTTCATGTTCCTTCCACTCTTCCAGAGGCAGGAGGGTGGGAGGTTACCTTGTGCAGCTGGATCGCCATCTCCTGCATCTCAGCCTCCAGCTGGTCGGCATAGGCCTGCTCCAGGGCTTCACTCGGTGGCCGCGCCCTGCTGTGCCACCTGGCGATGGCCGACGTCATCTTCCGCTTGGGCCCAAACAGTCTGGCATCCACGGGGCAGAAGCATCGGGAACAATCAGGCACCCCAGAAGGTCACCGGCCCTCCCCTGAGGAATTCTCCATCACAGCCACTCAATGCAGTCCCACATCTATTTTTTGCCATGGCAACTGGCATCTACGGGTTATTGAGCACAGTGTCATTCATGAGTGAACAGCAGCTCTCTCCATGTCAACTGAGGCTGGATGCAATAGCTATAGAGGACACACTGACAGGCAAGAGAGGACTGAATCAAAAGACACATCCCAATAGCCAATACAGATGTAAAACTCATTTCAGATAAACCACCTTTCTATCGAAATCCTTATATGGGTCTTCTGTTCTTGGTTTTTATTCTGTTTTCCCATAATAAAAGGCAACAGGAGATAAAAAAAAATACATTATATGACCAAAAACATCATTATTAAAGGAACTGACTATACACACCGCACCCATTGATGACACACAGGTGTTTAATTAAGCGCACAGACACGCAGTCTCCATTAACAAACACTGGCAGGAGAATAGATGGTTGTACGCAAGAGGTTAATGACTTTCAATCGGGCATCACAGGATGCCATCTTTCCAAAAAGCTCAACAAATTACTACCCTGGTCAATCACAAGTGAAGTGATCGTGAAGTGGAAACATCTGGAAGCAACTTCAGCTGCGAAGGAGTGGGACACACAAACTGACATACAGGGACCTGATGACCCAACATCGACCCCCCAACCTGAAAGGCAGCAAATCCCACCAGCCATGTTCCAACAGCTAATGGAGAGCCTAGGCTATCATAGCAACAATGGGTGGACAAACGTCATAGTCATACCACTGGTCTCAGATCGAGATGATTGACAAGCTGGTATCAGCATGCTTTTGACCATATAGTGTTTAATTAGTTTAAATTAAGCTGCTCCCAAAAGAACCAGACTATTCCACATGACTAACCAGATCCACAGCATCACGCTGACATCCTCCAGGGAACCTGAGATTAAAAATGTAAGCAGCCTTACGTGATGCCCACTTCCTTTAAATCATTCTCATTGAGGGTGAGGAATATCCGCAGGTCGATGTCCTGCTCCTCCAGCAGAGGGAGATATTTGGAGAAGCCTATCTGTTCAAGGAACTCTGCCAAATCCTGAGAAGAGGGCACAGGAGGTAATGAAGCTGAAGAACATGCCATTGTATGACGAGATGTGATTAAAACTGTGAACATGCCCATTAGAGTACAGAGTGCTGTAGAACAAGGTGTAACAAAGGGAGGCAGCCGGCGGACAGACACACCTTGGGGCCTGTGTAAGCAGCTGATTGGCTGGAAGGTTGCTGTCCTCCGCAGTTCCCAATGCTGCTGTGGAATGCTGCTGTGCTCTCGGTGCTGCTGTGGCGACTCTTCCCCTTGTGATGGTGACCTTTGCCCACCCTTCGTGCAGAGCTTTTCTTCGCTTGGTCTGAATCCTGCAAAAACAAACAAAAAAAAAAACAGATCAAAACGGACATACTGGACAGATAAAACCTTAATAATTCCAGAGGGAAGATTAAGGTCCAAACAGCAGCTACATCCAACCTCCATCAGTGAAACTACAAGATGAATAGTGCAATTATGGATCTAAAACCAGGCCACATAGGGTCACAGATAAAGGTATATATAGCATATATGACATATAAGAATACATTACCAGGTAATGCTGTGGATAGAATAAATAACTATGAACAGAAAGTGTAATGTACTAATGGAATGGAATACAAGAGCATTATGATTCAGTGCTTGTTTAAATATATACACTACATTAAATGTGAAGGATATTTGTATGTAAATTTGAAGTCTTGTCTCCACAGTAAACCCCTGGCATTGCGTGCGGGCGGCTCCCCAGGGCGATTCACCTCATTGCTCTCCAGCGATGCCTCGCGGCTCAGCCCCGCCATCCGCGGCAGACAGTCGCTGCTGCCGCTGCTGCTCCGCATGGTGGGCATGTCGTTGTCGAAGAAGGGGCTCTCATCTGCGGGAGACACGTCGCTCGGGCAGGTGAGGGGGGGGGCTGACAGGTATCACGAGGCGGCTTAAAAGCAGAGAAGGGGACGGCGTGTGACTTCGTGTGACAGAACTCTGAGCTTGTGATCGGAAAGGTTGCCCGTTCAAATCCCACCACTGGCAAAGTATCCAAGTTTGGCCCTGAAGCAAAGGCCTTTAGCCCCAGCTGCTCCAGAGACTGTCTGACCCTGCTCACTGTTGCTTTGAACCGAACCGTCTAACAAATAAGCTTATTGCTGTTCTACAGCTCACAACTCATAAGCTGGTTGTAAACATCGGAGAGCAGGGACTTTAATCTATGAATGACAAACGCATTGGGCTTCACCTCTGCTGCTGTTACTCTGACCATCCAGCTCATTGATGGGTGACGTGACATCACGGTTACAGATCCCTTCACTCTGCTCCCCTGTATCTCTGAAGGTCACATATCCTGGTGGCAGCACCCTCGGCTCTGGCAGAAAAGTGCAGTGGTCAAAGACTGGAAGCCCGCGAATCCTACCGTGACTAAACAGATGCTTGCAGGACAACTACACTACCTGGCCAGAAGTACGTGGACACCCTTTACCGAATTCAGCTGTTTCAGTCACACCCATTGCTAACAGGTACATAAGATCAAATACGGCCATGCAATCTCCGTAGACTAACGTTGGTAATAAAACAGGTCATACCTTCATAGATAGGATGCCACCGTTCCAACAAACCAGTTTGTCATATTTCTGCCCTATTATATTTCCCTGGTCATCTGTCATACTGTTGTTGTGGAAGCATCTAGGAGCACCGACCCCTCAAAGCAAGACGGCAGAGTGCTGAAGCATGTGAGGAGTAAAAATTGCATTTCCTTGCTTGAGATGCTAACTGCATACTTTCAAACTGCCTCATCAAGTACCATCAGGGCAAGAACTGTCCATCAGGAGCTTTATGGACTGAGGTTCCATGGCTGAGTTGCTGCGCTGTGCCATTAGACTGTGCAGCAGTGGAAATGCGTTCTCGGGTGTGATGCATCACGCTTGACCATCTGGGTTTGGCAGATGCCAGAGGAACCTGCCTGCCTGAGTGCATAGTGCCAAATGTAAAGTTTGGTGGAGGGAGGCAGAGGTGGATACTTCAAGTCCAGAAAGTAAAAATCCAGACCAAGATTTTGTTTCAACTAACCAGTACTCCGTGACTCTTTATACTCAACTGGTTGGTTGAAATAAAATCTTGGTCTGGATTTTTACTTTCTGGACCTGAACTATCCACCTCAAGAGGAGGCATAATGTGTTTGGGGCTGTTTTTCATGGTTTGATCTAGGCTCCTTAACTAAAACCTCCACTAAAACCTCACTAATGCTCTTGTAGCTAAAATGGGCTGAAATCTAGTGTAAAACTTTCCCAGAAGAGTGGAGGTTATTATAGCAGCAAAAGGGAATCGACCCCATATTAATGCCTATGGCACTGGAATGGGGTTCTCAACAAGCACATATAGGTGTGATGGTAAGGTGTCCACATTCTTCTGGCCAGGGAGTATTATATTTATTAATAAATAATAATAATTTTTAAATTTACTAGTTTCAGTATTATACATAACTCTTTTACATCTGAAGTAGCAAAATAGTATTTTCACTCAAATATCCAAGAAAATCTCTACCACGACGCCTGCTGGGGGCTCCGACCCGGAACTTGGCTATGGCCTGTGGACCGTCATGAATGCTAGGTCCTTTGACTTGTCCCTTGCTGCGGGTAAGACGTGACCTCCGGGGGCCACTATCTGAGTCTTCAGATGAGCTGAGGTCTTCATAATGTCCTGATGACAAAGTGGAAACAAAAAAGTAACATTACTATAAAGGAGTAAGGCTGTCTGTAGGTTAAACTCTTCAGGCAACAGTGGACGCTCTTGTATCTTGTGCCTGTCTAGTAGGAATCTAGTGCTAATTCTGATTCGATTAGCTTGTGTTAGGCTCTTACAATGTTTTGTGTAGCTTCTGTTCCAGTACCAACTAGCACTTGTTACTGGTCTCTAACTGGAAGCTCAACATAGAAGTTATTGTACCCAAGTTGGCTCCTTGACAGGTTTATGCTTGTGATGTATTATCTGCCTCACTTGTATATCGCTTTGGACAAGTGTCAAGTAAACAGATTAATGTAAAATAACGAATAAGCCATCAAGTCTTTAAAGCCTGAAAAGCAACATCCCCTACCTGGTTTGGTCCTGGACAACTGCATGTCAATGAGGCTGGCGATCTTGGTGTGACCATATAAAATAGCTAAGGAACGAGCCGTCTCTCCTTTAGCATTTCTTTCGTCGACTTTTACTCCCTGAGGAAGGGGGTGGGGGGGTGGGCAGGATCTTCAGCACCTTGTCAAAGCAAAGCAATTAAAAGTTCATGTTCTGTGAATGGGGTCTTACACGTTCTAGAAGGTACTGGGCGGTTATTTTATGACCTGAAGCAGCAGCCTCCATTAAGAGTGTGAATTCAGATATTGGCTCCCTGTTGAGAATAAATGTTATTTTACATTGTTTTGAGGAAGTTGCAGTAAATACATTGATTCATGTTCAGTAGCCACTCTGGGCATTGATGTCATTAGAGGCGCCCTACTTGATATTAACATTTGCATTGTTGTCCAATAGGAACTTCACCATCTGCCGGTGTCCAGTGCTGGTACAGTGAAACAAAGCTGTCCAGCCTCTTGCATCCTTCATCTCCAGATCTGCACCTTGCTTTTTTTTTGGTGGGGGCAAAAAAAAAGGGTACAGGTCATACAATGGTAATGTTAATAAGGGCAGATAAAATTTCCCATTCCATCATTCATTTCAACCAATAAGGTCAATGAAAAGGTCAATGAACTCAAAAAGTGAAAATGTCAACCCATGATGTCCTGACCTGGAGCAGGAAATAGGCAATGCTCTCATTTCCACAGCTTGCTGCCAGCATAAGTGGCGTTTGTCCTTTTGCAGTAGTCGCGTTCACGTCCACACCCGTCTCAAGCAAAAGGTTAGCAATGTTGTCATGCCCAATATAAGCAGCATACATCAGCGGTGTCCAGCCACCTATATTCTTAGCATCCAGGTCAACATCCCCTCTGAACCAAGCAAATAGAAGCAAGACAAAACAAAACTCATTTCTAACCACCTAACGAAACACTGAGAATTATGCAGGAGGTGGACAAAATAAGAGAAACACCTCATATTAATATCTAGGACTTAATAAAAAGTAGGGACAACAGTCACCTTCAGAACAGTTTCAAACCATTTTAAAGTAATGTCATATGTCATGCAATTTCACTGCAATATAACTACCAAATTGCGGGTATCGTGATTTTGGACAATTTCTCCAAAAGTTTTGTGCTCTGTACACTGGATAATGCATCTTTGTACAAAGGGCCAAGTTAAAATCTGTGTGTGAAGGACAGCCCTCCCATGAAGTCCAGCTTTTGTTGAGACTGAGTCACAGAGCTGCTGGTTCTTTTCAGTGGGGATTTCTGAGGCTGTAGTGTTAAGGTGTTTAACTATCCTGCTAAATGTCTGTCTATCCTCGACAGTGAGGCTCAAACTGCGATCACTGTTCCTCTTGCCAGTTAAGTGTCTGTGCTTAGCAAATGCTGCGATTGGTTTTTGAGACCATATCCCTCGACGCGTTAAATAATCTTGCAGTTTTTTGACGAGTGCACCTACAACACAAGCACCGAACATTTGACCCCTTGAAAACTATTTGTTGATTTATGTTAATTTTGAAAACTCATACATTTATGGGCTGTCAGACTTCTACTCAAATTATGACATTCAAAGTTGAAGTCCTTTTTCATGTAGTGATTCTGTTATATTGCCCACATTGAGACATTCATTGATTTAACTGTTCCTTCTATATAAACTGGAACCATGTTTTGTGGGGGGAAAGCTTGCTACAACGCAACACCCACCTGCGAATGCATTCTGCTACAACATCATACTGGCCAATGGAACAGGCAGTGTGAAGATCCAGAGGTACATGCAGCTCTTCACGATGCCCTAATTGCCCTCCAGCATCCCCTAACCACAGAGATAGGCTGGCTCCAAGCTGTTCAGACTCACTGGCTTCATCACTTAATTCCGACATCCTCAAACCGGCTCCTGTTTTATATAGATACTTCAGAGAAACATTTCAGAAGGGTAAAATACCATGCCAACAATCTCTGCAAAAAGTGACAAGCACCGCTTAAATGACAATTTTCAGTAAATTGAAAAAGCAATCAAAATATTAGATAATAATGTTAATATTATAAAGTTTAATTTTACTCTGCGTTTTAAATCTCTGCATAATACATATTCCGATGAAAGACGAGAACAGTAATTATAAGTTTTTCTGGGCGCTTTAAATTTCCGAAAACAGCTGGTACTACTGTTGCACAATTGTATTAAACACATAAAAGAGCGAGCTCGTGAAACAATAACCAAAAAGTGATACAACCTTACCGGGGAAGTTAAGTACCACCCTAGATAAAGTGCGACCTAAATGCATATCACAAATAGAGACGGTGAATAACTTCTCATAATCTTTCACCAAATCGCTCTAGTGCAGATTTGGTGCAAATTATAGTAAAATAATTTTTACAAACACTATACAGCAACCAGCGCAGTTAAATCTAACTTACCCTTGTAAGTCGTTCACGACTTCAATCACTGAGTCGCTTGTTGTAATACAAACACCATCAAACAACACGATTGCACACATGTTACATCCTCCAACTACGACATAAGTTTCAATATCTGGGTTCTGTAGTCAAATTGTTATACAAGTCAAGCAGTCCACAAGTCATGTCGCTGTAAAAATGAACTCATTTTCCCAAACACCACAAAAATAGCTACCGTACTGGTCATGTGATACGCAACCAATGGAAAGTCGAAGCACAGTGGCGTCATACTTGAACAACAGCTGTACAGTTATGCGTAACCGAAGAGAGATCCAGTTGTTGCGGCTAGCCATAAACTCTACCGAGGACCGGAGGAGAACGTGTTTAGCCAGATGATAGTGATGACGACGAAGATTTTAAGATTTTCCTAACAAAATATTAAACACTTAAGAACTATGGTTTCCTTCACTGTCTAAAACTGGCAATAATACGTGCAGTTCCCGATTTCTTTTTTAAATATCGTAAATTTTTGAAAGATATTTGAGAAATAATGTGATTTAATATTATATTGCAACTTTTGTTACAGCTTTTTTGCAAGCACATCTGTTAATGAATCTCTTATGATAAATTTTCAGTGTCACTCACTGTACATTTCTACTACGAAAATGTACGCACGGATTAGGAATGCTCTATTGTCTTTCTTTAAACCCCTAAGGTAGGCAATCTTAGCTGATGATAGTCTTCAAAATTACATAAATATTATTGAAAACCTATGGGTGACATGGACTCTTAAGCTGTGGAAAATTATTAAATAACACAAATTAGAAAGAGATAATATAATCCTTAAATGGTGTGCATATGACTCTGATTTTACACCACCGAACATTAAATAAACCGAACATTAGGTTTAAGGAATGGACAGCCATGGGAATAACAGCTCTATGTAAAATAATAAAAGAAGAAACACTACTTAGTTTTGATTGGCCTAAAGAGAAATATTTACAAAAAAAAACAACACATATCGATATCTGAAGTCAGGACACTATGTTAATATGAAGATCATGGCTGAGGCAAAGGCATATTTGTTAGAGCTGTTTAGAAAAGCATATAATTCAGATTTTGATAGTAGAATTGGTACAAATACTGTAAAATCTGTCGTCTGTCAAATCTCAAAACATACTCAACTTCATATATCAAAACAAAATTGGAGAAAGAAGGAGGGATAGTTATATCTGAGGAGGGATGGACAATAATATGAAGAAACATGGAAATGTACCAGTTCACAGAATTGGAGAGAGTTTGATTGGAAAAGCCTGATTATGGATTTCATTGCTCACTCTCAAAAATCCCATTATGATAGTAATCTCTCAGTCTGCAGGGGAAAATGTGGAAATCAAAATGCTACCATACTTTCTGGGACTGTCCTGTTATTGGAAACTACTGGAAAGGGATGCACAATGCCCTATGAGATATTTTTAAATGTAAAATATCCTTGAAGTGTAAGAGCATATATTTAATGAAGGATTTAATGAATATACTCTTGGTGGCTGGTAAAAAAAACACATAAGGAAATGGTTATTACAGGACACCCCAACTCTAAATACATGACTGGAAATTACATTTGACATTTACTCAATGGAGAGGATGATAGCATTTGTTAATCATAAACTAAAACAATTTGTTTCATACTGGGAAAAATGGGTTAACTATATAGTACCCCATAGGCCTGATTTTATCTTTATAAATGAATGGTTATGTTGTATAGAAAAGATCACTCCCTATCTGTAAATTGTTCTCCCTTTTTGTTCTTTTGTCTATGTACTTGTACTTTTGATAAGTATTATGGTGAGACTGATGGCAAACATGAATGATGTATATGACATGAGAGATATGTCTTGGAAATGCTTGTCTTATGCTGAATACTAATAAAAAAGACAATTATCAAAAATAAATCTCCAAGGTCAGTTGGATGCGCATGCAGAAGTATCGCTTGAACACAATTAACCTCATGGTCGGTTAACCCTGTGCCGTGCAGCATACAGGACTTGATTAGTTCCTTGCTTTTGTTTTGGTGTCTGGCTTATAGGCCACCCGAAGCGTGTAAATGTAAAAGTGAAGCATGTAGACAGTATACTTTTACGCTATTTTGTTAAATATCTAACTAGAAATAGTTATCTAGTATTAGTACATGTGACTAGTGCCCTGTATATTCACAAACTTCTTCAATAAGTCATTTAACAAAATTAACTGACAATGTGACAAAGCATATCAATCAATCAATCAAATCAAATTATGAAATCAGTTTATTAGTCACAATGAATGTATTTTGTTTATTACTTCTGTTAGAAAAGATATAATTTTTCGCTCCGTATGTTATATTAATGATCCTGGAGATTATCTCAGGAACCACAGATGGTAAGGCATGGGGCACCTTGCAGGTGATTCCAGTCCTTTTAGGGCACACGCGCACTGGCAATTTAGACACGGGAATCCCCTAAACGTGTGTTTTTGGATTTCTGGAAGAAACCTACCAAAACACTGGTCACATGTAAACTATGTACACAGAGATCTTGCGGAGAGCTTTAACCCAAAGCCCACCAGGTGTCAGGCTACAGTGCAAACGAATTAACTATCACACAACTACATTATAATAACTGAATAGTTATACTTCATTGATCCCCGGGGATAAATTGTCCTATCTGGCTCTCCTTGAAACACACAGAGAGGTGAGAACAGGCTTGGGGGGCACAGCACAGGGCCAACCACCATGCAGTACTCCCAGAGATGAGGGTAAAGGGCCTTCCTAAGTGGCCCAACGGCAGCATCAGTCTGTTGGCCCCAGAATTCGAACCGATAACCTTCCAATCACAGACACAAGTCTTAACCCAATGAGCCGCACATCTCACAAAAATGTATGAAGCCAGTTACATGAGGAACACTGCAAATCCAGCTGGCCTTAGCTCAGATGTGTCAACTGCTGGCACACAGTAAGGAATTTAGGGAAAGATTTGAACTATTTTAAAATCTGCATTATGCAAAATCTAGCATTATGTAAGCCACCTAAAACTATTATAACACGATACCGCTTAATATAGAGAAGTTAATAGCATAAATGCATTATGATGGTGTGTATACAGTGGGCGACAAAGGCCAAAGAAGCAGCATATTAAGGTCATGGAGCAGCCTAGAGAGGCTCCAGACCTCAGTCCTATAGGACATCTGTGGAGGGACCTGAAGCTTCGAGTAGCCAAGCGGCAGCCAAGAAACCTAAAGGATTTAGAGAGTTTCTGTAAAGAGGAGTGAGCCAAAATCCCTCCCGAGATGTGTGCAAACCTGACGACCAAATACAGGAAATGTTTTACCGCTGTGGTTGTCAACAAGGGTTTGCCACCAAGTACAAGGTCAGGTTTTGCTTGGGTAACAAATACTTTTCTCATTCAACGACATGCAAATCAATTTATAACTTTTATGTAATGTGTTTTTTTTCTGGATTTTTGGTTGATATTTTGTCTTTCTCCATTAAAATAAACCTATCAAAAAAATTACAAACCACTGATTTCTTTGTAAGTGGCCAAACTTACAAATTCAACAGGGGATCAAATAATTATTCCCCCCACTGTATATGCATATGCTGTAAAGTGGACGGGCAAGGATTAATTTTATGCTTTCCCCAACCTGCAACTCATCAGATTTGTTTTTTTTTTGTAAAAAGGTTGGAGCTCCCTATTCTAATTGTTCTAATTTCTCTCTGCAAATCAATAAGGTACCATCTCATCTCTCTGAAGGCCATACAATTATGTTTGTATATATTAATTCCCTCTAGAGCAGAATCTTAGGCTATTATTTTCGTGATATAGCCAAGCTGATCACTTGATTTTGTTCTGTACTTTGTGGTATTTAAGCAGATCATCAAAGTTTCTAGTAGTACATCAAAGTTTCAGGCCAGAAGTAGACTTGGACCTATACTAATTTACCATCATATTGTCCAGACATTATAATGCATTATGAAGTTATTTTGACCGTATTTTCAAAAGCAACTTTATTCCAGTATTTTGAAATCTAAATGAAATTGTGAGGATAGAGAATTTTGATTTCAAAACCGTATACCATATTACTGAAATAACTCCCAAGCCTAGCCTTTGATGTTTTTGTTTGTCTGAATTACAAGTACAAAAGACACACATGATCAGATGCAGAAAAACCACTTGGTTTATACTTCTTTGTGAGGTACAAATTTCTTTTTCACTGCTTCTGATTTTTTAACCCTAGATTCTGACCCATTAACCAAACAATTAAAAAAAATATTTTTAACAATGAAAAAAACTCTATACATTAACTAGAAGCAAAAACATTCCTGTCAGATATTTGTGGTCAGAATCAGAAGAAGTTGAAGTGGAACTCCTCTTCTGCAGGGGTGAAAACAAACGGCTTCCCGCTGGGCTCAGGGCTGCTGTCCTGGCTCTGCATACTGAGCTTCTCTTCTTTGACTTGTTTTCTGCACTCTGCTTTTCTATGGAAAACCGGCTTCTTGGCAGGTGTCAACACTGCCGTCACGTGGGCTGACTTCATGTCTAGGACAAAGCAGGGGCCATTTTGGGTATATCAGTATCCCACCATATAAATCAGTGTTTCCCAATCTGGTCCTCGGGGACCCCTAACGGTTCACGTTCTTGCTCCCTCCCAGCTCCCGCTAGCAAAATCATGGACCAGGTGGGGGCCCCCCGAGGACTGGGTTGGGAAACACTGATATAATACATGCAACATCTGGCAAACCGCCTCTATTTCACACTGTTCTGTATGAATCCACCATGCCGTTTCCCCTCAAAACTTCTCACCAGCTTGAATCATTTTAAGCTGCTTGGCTTTTTCATCCGCCATCTTTTTCCTGTAGTCGCCAAACATTGACCTCATCACCTGCCTCTTCTTCACCAGAGGAGCTTTGCTGCTATGCAAAGTTTTCAGTGCACGAGAGGACTCCTCCACTGTGATCGATATACACAAAAAGAACGATTACTTGGGACAGAAGTGGTGTGGTGTTACATTGCTTATTTTAAAAACACGGCTTTCCTATAAATTTCTAATGCAGTACGTTGATAGAATGACTCTTACTCTGTTTAGGAGTAGACTTTTGAGTCCTTAGGCCCAGTTCCAGCTGTTCAATGCACCATTCAAGCTCCCTGACCAGCTGCTGCTCTGAACTCTGTAATGCATAGACATGCAACCAGTGTCTCTGATGTGTTTTGGTATCGTTTAATAAACAGATTGGACCTGTGCTGACACTTACCAGCACGCTTTGCCCCGAGTTGCTGGTCGCTGCATCCTGAGAAGCTGGTGGTGGTTTCTTCTGGCCTTCAGATCCCTCTTGCTTTTTCTTCTTCTTCCGGGGCTTCTTTTTCTTGGCAGCCGTGGTATTTTGTTTAAAGTCCTGCAGATTCTCAGAGCTGGCATCTCTGCCATCTGCTGCTACAGCAACGTCCGTGGAGCTGACCGGATTCACCCCGTCCTCAGTCTCAGGACTTTTTGAGGGTATCTGGAAATTGAAAGTGAAGTCTGCTCCTTCCCCTGTTAAAGTAACCGAGTTTATCTGACTTCCTGATTCCTGTGGAAGCTGGGTTGTCACTGAGGTTTCCTCAAGTTGCCTCGCGGTTCCATCTGGGAAGAAGTTGAACATAAAGGAGCTGTTGCAGGGCACCCAACTGAAGCTACTTCCCCCGCTGCTCTCGTGGATGGTCTCCCTGACTGTAATGTCCATGTAGGTTAGTAAATACTCCATAAAGCACATATTCAGGCTGAATTCATTAAGACAGTAAGGTGTTTGATATTTTGAATTTCACAAAAAAATGGCATTTTCCATACCTGTGTCCTCCTGTGCTTTGTGTTCATCTGTCATTTTTTGCCTGTAGTCCCCAAAAACCATCTGCATAATCTGCCTCTTCTTCATAGAAGGTGTCGTCTTTGACTGCAACACGCTAAGCACGCGTTTATTTTCTTCAGCTGTCAGCAAATGAAGAAACGTTTGTAGCAGCAGAAACATCACTAGATGGTCAAAGAATGTGATGTGCGCCTTACCTCCCTGTGGATCGCTGTGGATCAACAAGTTTGTCTGAAGTTGCTGGATACACCAGTCAAGCTCATCCTGAAAAGTTCCCCAGGGAGCCTTCAGTAAAATAAAACGTAGGTAGGAGTAAGTAGGATATATTCATGTTTACTACTATTACTAATAATTTAAGAACACATTTTGCAGATTTTTTACATGGGAATACCTCATAAAATGTGCAAAATCTGGTCAAACTCAACTGTGAAATATCAACAACCAAGTTTCCAAAATATACTTAATAAATTTACTTGACAAGCATATTCAGCTTAAATTTGACATTTACCTCTTCCATCCTAAAATAATTTACATCGGGCCAGAACAAGCCGAGATAGCATTTCTTGGTGGACAACCTGCGTTCACAACGGGGAAAAAAGCACATTCATTTAACACAGCACGTATGTAGTTGCTCATTAGTTTGTTGTTGGTAAGCCACAACAGAAACAATTGATACGTCACGTAACTGTAAACATTCACGTTTTCAAAGAGGATTAGCAGATTACTAAAAGCACACAATTAGTTATTAAATACATAATTTACTCGTTAGTAATCGTCGAGCTTTTAAGAAACAGTTTGCAATACATTACCTCCAAAATCCCACCAAAAGTACACTTAAATAAGTTGTTCCAGGGTAATCAGAGAGACAGAAATGTAACACTACGTTGTGTGCGCTCTCCTTTAATCCCCCACGCCGTACAAAGCTGCATATAAAAAGGGTTCCGCTATGCATTCGAGAAAGGTTCCTTCCGCCGCTTTATAACACGGTACATGGTTTTAGCTTCTTGTGACGAGACAAATCTTACCCCTCCCCACCCCATTTTAGATTATCATTGGTTCTCCTTACAGTACTTACATAGTTGCCGTTTTGGGCAGTTTGGGCAGAAAATATTGCAATAACTATTGACCTTCACTAAAGTGTTCAGGACCGAATTACTTTTTCTTCTAAGAAATAACAAATTGATAATTTGATAATGGACTAAATTTATTTTGTATACAAGTTATATTTGCTGTGTAATGTATTTTTATACACATTATTATGGCTCTGCCTAGGACTGGTCTTTAGGTGGCGCTAATTCTTCCTCTCCCGGTTTTCTTTTTTTTTAATCTTTCTCCTTGACCTTTCCCTGCAGGCATGCTGTGGGTGCGGTCTAGGCTCTACCTTTTGGTTTACCAGTTCCCAATCAGATGGTGGAGTATATTTAAGTCCTGTGCCTGCTTCAGATTGAGATTTATTTGGGGCTGGATAGAGGAGCTTTTGATTCTGTTGATTTACTGTGTTTTACAGTGCAGCGTAGCTAACACACACACACATATTACCAAATGATCACCTCAACACAGTAATTCTTGTGTTCTGTTACTAATAGGTGTGAAAATAAAGTATTATGGCTGGTTCCACACCTCTGTGGGTAGCCCAGTTTTTTGTTGTAACGTCAGAGGTGTTGTAACAACAAGCAGCACCTTCTGTACCAGGGGTGTCACACTCCAGTCCTGGGGGCGGCGGAGCCCTGCACACTTTTTTGTTTACCCTCGTTTAACACACCTGATTCAACTCCTTGTGCTAATTACCACTCAGTTCATAAGCTAAATCATTTATGGTGAAACAGGGAAAGAACTAAGCTACACAGGGCTCCGGCCCCCCAGGACTGGAGTTTGACACCCCTGCTCTATACTGACACAAAAATAGTGGCCTGATAGTTTTCTTATGCAAGGAAGAAACAACTTTAATGTGCACAGACTGGTATAAAAATGTTCCCAAGTCCATTTCTGTACCTTAAAATATACATTTTCCTACAGCTAGGGTACAATTGGCAGACCTTTGAGAGTACAGCCCCAGTGACAATAGTACACTCAAAGGTACAGATGGGTACTTCTTCCTGAAAGTGTATGGCTATGGTTGAATTTCTAATGCCAGCTGTCATGCATCAATTTTGCATTGGTTTCCTCCCATAATCCAAAGCATGCTGATATATGAATTAATTAAACTGCCTTGAGCGTGTAATTCTGGGTGTGTGCATCATGAGATGGACTGACATCCTGTCCAGGGTGGGCACTGCATTGTGCCTCCTGGGATAAGCCCCATGTTCACTGCAACTCTGTACTGGATCAGCACCTATGCATGATCTTATATATGTAATTTCCCGTAGTATTATGGCCTTGTGTAAAGAGGATGTGGAATATTTTCAGTTCACCTCACTAGAACAAATGTTGTGTTACATTAGTCCAAATGTAAAATACCTGGGTGGTTCCAGACTTTTGAGTCACCTGGTAAAATTTCATTAATTTTATTTTTATTTATTTTAGAAAGACATTTCTGTCGTCAACATTCCTGCCCTCTGCACCAAAATACAGCCTAGAAAGTAAGTAACTTCCAAAACACAGACAGAGATCAATTTTTTAATTCCATAGTAAAAAATAATTCCATTAATTCTGTAAACCATTTCATAAGTGCTATAATATGTAAATTGTAACATGTTAATTTAAAACACAGTAAAAGTACTGATTATGCATCATAAATACCATATCTGAAGAATGCCATTTGTGTTTAAATATTAGACACACAGCAATGCAAAGGTTTCCATAAATTCCCATATGTAATTAGATGTAAAATATAAAATGTACTAACAGTAATATTTCTAAGAATTTAACATCTTCAGACACTTAAAACACTACAACATGGCTGTGATATTTTTTAACGCAATACATACCAAAAAACGTAAGTGATAAGTTTGCTGTTGGGATGCTTGCGCTATTATAAAATATCTAACCTAATAATATTCTTAGCAAAAATTGTAATAAACTGAACCTTTTGTGTAAGAACAAAATTTCTTCTTTATTCTACTGTTAAACCCTGAGAAATTACTTTACTTCCATATTGTCCTCTCTAGCTTTAGATTAACAAATATGCATTCTTTAAAAACTGCCAAATGCATAAAAAAGGAAATCTTAAACATTCACACTTGATTTGAAACCCGTAATCTGATAACATCATTTTAAGCCATATCACATGTCTTATTCTCCAACATTTTCCTGTCATAAGAATGAAATTTAGGTTAGCGCATTTAATATCAAGGTTTCCACAGTAAATGAATAATACGCTTGCATAAACATCAGAGCCAACAATTACAATATAATTACAAAAAAAACAACACATTTCACTTTGATGCAAAAACATTGTTCACACCAAAATATCATCATCATCATCATCATCATCTTTGCCATCATTACTATCATCAAAACTAGCTAATCAGTGCTTTATTTAAGCTGCAGCTGCCCTTTTCCCCAGACTAATCCCCGTCAATGTATCTTTCATAAACATGACAAAATGTACAAAAACGAGAAGAGAAAAATTATGCACACTAAAATTATGGCTGATACAGACAGGTGATAGTGGTACACACATGTTTGGCTCAAAAGCTGAGTTTCACAACCATTTTACAGAACTATGGGACAGTAGAAGTTCCAGTTCAGTTAATAAAAAAAAACACAATACAACAAGGACAATGAGTTAGCCTTGAAAAGAATATAAACTGTTAACCTATAGTCAGACACTTAAATTAAATTAAGTGAAATTTAAAAACTACCTGGGTGTTATAGGAAAAAACATCAGAAAAAAAAATGCCAACGCCTGCTTCATTGCTATACAACTGCCTTTATGGCAGCTATAAGGTTTAGATTCATTTTTATTGCATCTTATTTTAATATTACATTTTATATCATATTGTACATTAAAATGATATCAAATGCAACAGCAATACTCAAAACTGTTAAATCATCTTTTAGAAATTCAGGTAAACAGAAAGTATTTCTCTGTTATTATTATTATAGCCTGACCTATTTCTGTGCCAGTTGACCTCAAATACATTTAAAAGGGCACAATAAACAAAGTCTGACCATTAAAAGGGAGTTAGGCTGAAGAGCAGGTTCTACACGCTATAGGTGGACCCTAATGCTTTATCAGCCACGGACCAGTATGAGATACAGATAAGGTGCACACAACTATTGGATATCTTGCTGTACCATTGCTAGAATAGTAGCATCCATTTAACAGGTACAGTAGAGAGACAAGCCAATCAGGTGGGTAGCTGGAATAAGGCCTGACCAATGGGAGCTGCCATCAAGAGAGTGAATAATTAAATTATCACACCTGCCTGTATCAACCAATGTGAAGGACACTGTATCAACACACAAGCTGAACATGGTATCTGTAAAATGCTGATGATTAGGTGGGAGGAGGAAGCACAAGAGAGTCTGAACATACATGAGCATGACAAATTGTAGTGTACAATCATTACTACAATGAGAATGCAGTCCACCAGAAAAGAGAAAGACATTTATACATTTTAAACACTAAATACAAGTGTCATTCACCTTCTGCAGCATTTCACTATGAACGGTTCAAATTGTAGAGCAACGTTCAACATTCATATCGAAGAAAAAAAAAAAAAGAAGAAAAAAAAAAAGGATGACATTCCAATTTGTCTAGGATTTTTTATTTGGTCATTAGATCTGAATGTCAGAAATAAAGTATTTTTAAATGTAATATATCAAAAAATATTGTTAAATAGTTAATGTCTTTGGCAGAGCACAGAAGATGGCAAAAACCATTATTCTTATATGCAAATGCAGAGTGTATCACACCCTCTGCTGATTAAAGTTAAAACTGTACGGTAATTTTTACATTCCTCCATTATTTCAACTGAAATTACAGCACTATCATTATTAAATCATCTTAATCATACTCTGTTATTAAGTTTAACACATAATTTGGTTACATTGTACCCTATATGTGAATGATTTTGGAAACACTTGAATTTCAGCATTTATGGGGGAAAATACTACAGAAGAAAACCGTCTAAAATTCTAATTATTCTATGTAGCAAAAATTAATTAAGCTCCCAAGAGAACATAAGATGTGGTGAATTACTTTGCTAATTAAACACAAGGACTACACGTGGTAGTGCACTTTACAGAAAACCGTGCAACCTAAGATTGAACTAAACAAGTTCCAGTACTTTCTTTTCACTTCCTTAGACTAAATATGCTTCATTCATGCCCTCAATGAACTTTTCAAATTGCACAAGGGGGTACGAAGCTCCTTAACAACTACATGGCTGTCACCGTTTTACTCTCATAAGTAATTAAGAAAGTGAGTGTTAAAACACAACGGGCACAGACAGGGACATAATGACTTAGTCTCAACACAGTTGGAGGTCATTTCAATCAGTTTAAGCTGCACAGGCCAGCGACGTTTGGGAAAATCCATACACACCTGTAAAACCATGTCTCACATGTACACTTTTAAAAAGGAAATACTTGTTTCTGCAATACAAATATGACAGTGGTAGTTTTTTTGTGACTAATGGTTAATCTTGCAAATGGCACAGTTTGAGTGATTTTAAACCAATCATAAAGCATTCAGGAATTCCAGACCATTGTTAGCAGTGTGTGCTGGACACAAAGCAATGCTAGAGGGCACCACCCATTCCTATATATGCATATCTGTTTAATATATTTTATAAAATTGAGCCAATTTGTGCCTGGTATCAGTTCTTATTAGGAGATTTTAAAATGATTAAGTAGGAGCTTATTATTAAGAAAATCAATGAATTGTTCCGTTTTGAAGCTTTTCTCTGCCGGTAGAGACAAGGCACTCCTATAGTGCTGTTGTAGCCTAAACAACCATGTTGCTTGGCTACAACAAAAATATCTACAGCAGCCAGTTAAATCGATTAAAGAGAAGAAATGAGCCTAACAGCTTAGTGTACAAAAACATCAGAAAAATAATAACCGATCCATTACATGCTAGCTAGTGGCTCTATTGTGTTATAACTGCTGGTTATGTTTCCATTTTTAAATCAGAAATTCTACACTAGTTATAGTACTGTAACACTTAATACATTCTTGAATTTAATACATATTGATTCTGAAATATCTTCTATTAAAAACTACAAACAAGAGTTCAACTATAGCAAGTTGTGAAAAACATATAACCTAAAAGCAGCCTAAGGCAATTCTGTAAATCTAAAAAACTTTTAACAAAGTGCTTTTATATTAAACATATAATCTTCACATATTTGGTAACAATAACAGTGCAAGGCTGATACTTTTAAAGTAGTTACTTGGAATTAAGGGCATCATCTGACATTGAACTGAGAGCCATTTGAAAAATGCACTGGGTTTTTCATGTTAAACATCTCCCATCTGAAAAAAATGTCAATGTATCAGTCAAACACTGTTACCTTTATATGTACTACATGAAATTCTAAATAACACAGAAAATCTAAATCCAGACTGTTAGCATCACTGATTAATACGTAATCTTTCGAAGGTATAGATCTACAAAAAGTACCTTGGATAGATCAGCATCACCAGCTCAGTATCTTAGTCTCGCAATAAGGACATTCCGTTTTGCTTGGTGCGCAGCTCTCACAGAGTACATAATGCTGGCAGGGCTGAAGAATTATAGAACGGTCACGTTTTTGGCAAACCATGCATTTCTTTGACTGAAGCTGATATATTACCTGTGTATTGGGAGGGAAAATTATGATGCAATTAGTACATCATCACAAAGTAGATAAATCCAGAATCTTAGCTAAGCTTTAGCTGCAAATACTGCACTTGATATCTTAGCAGGTTTCCCCGTCTGGCTCTGCTTACCGTGTCAATAACGTCAAGGTCTGTGCAGAGCTGGTTTTGGATGGAGAGAAGTTTAGGGAGGGCGAGCTGGTCCAACTCGCCGTAGCTGCGGAGCAGCAGCGTGTTCGGCGAGCGGCACACCATATCGAAGCTCCCCTGCAGCTCCCTCAGCTTGCGCTCGGCGCCCTCGCGTTTCTGCGCCGCCCGCTGCCGCTCCCCCTCGGCGACCTTCGCCCGCTCTTTGGCCTCCTGGGCGTCCTTCTGGCAAGCTTTGCAAGCCTGAAACGGGCGTGGCCGTCAGGCAGTGCCAGGTCGTGTGCCCGAGTATCCCGGTCGTGATCGCACTGCCAGCGCGCACATAAAAGCGGGGCCCCTGACCTGCTTAGCCTGCTGCCACGCCATCTCCCACTGCGTGATCTTCCCTCTGGCCTCCTCCAGCTCCCTCCGCAGGCGGCACAGGTCCACACCGGCACTGCTGGCCACTGGAGACGAGCTGGGAGGGTAGATTCCACTCACAAAGTCCCACATGCCACCTCCTGCAGCCCCATTTAACCCTATGGAGAGGAAGCACACACAGCACATGTCCGTCACCTGCCAATCACAGCATGCTATTATTTACAAGTTCTTCTGAGTGGCTTCATTGAGGCTACCTGATCAAATGATCTTAATGATGATGCTTTATTTGCCATTTGTATGAGCCCAGCTACATTGGAAACGTTTTGTTTTCATAGCACCCATCTTGCTCTCCTACACACATATACAGGTGAGAATAAAGCTCCGGATCATCCGTTTATCCAGCTCCCCAGGGTAGTTTTTCAGGTGTTAAGGGCTCAGTGGTGATATTATTATTATTATTATTATTATTATTATTCTGCTGAGTACGAGATTAGAACCGGCGACATTCTGGTCACATGCACTTACCGAGCTTGCTGGGCGAGCTGACGGAGGTCCCCATGAGTGTGTGCTCTGCGCCAGCACGGGGGGTCTGGGGCTGGCCCTGGGGGGCCTTCATGCCAGAGCGCAGTGACTGGGACAGGGAATCGAGAGGGGAAGCCGGCAGCGAGGAGCAGCGCAGGGAGGGAGGGCGGTTCAGCGAGCCGGGAATGCTGACAGGGGCCGAGCCGCACAGGAGCTGCTCACCTGGGGGGGAGTTGGGGGGGGGCATGCTAGCAGGCCTCACAAATAACATAAACATCTCTGACTGAGGACACGAGAATTTCATATGAAAGACAAACAAAAACAACCAATACACTCACTTGTTAAACTAAGGTCGCCATTTTCATGTTGCTCCAGTTCCTTATCCAGCAAGACGACGTCAATGTCGTTGAAATTCAGGTCAAGAGCGGAGCCTAGAGGACAAAACTGTAACTTCACAAAGACGTTCAAATGGCATCCATGGGCTTTCACTATCAATTCTATTGTTTCTTTTTAAATAAACAAATCGCCAGACTGAAACATCTATCATGCCATACTCACTGTGGGTCATTTATTAATAAGAACACAAGCCATCCAAGTTCAGACTTGATTATTATTTGATTGGCAAACTGATGGTGTTAATTTTTTTTTCTGGATGCTGTTATTTCATTTCAAGTATCCTGCAGTCTTACCACATCAAGCATGAGGTTTCTCTTTTGAATCTGTGTAATTCATTCACAATACTGAAAAACTCATGAAACATGTGATACAGGTGAGTTCATGCCTCCATGATAAATACATACCCCCTATATTTGTTCATTTAAAAAAATTTATTCTGAGATTAATTTTAGAACACGCAAACCCCTTAAAATTGCCCATTTCTTCAGGGGCTCATAATAATCTGAATCATAAATCAACTGAAGTAACAAAGACTGATTAATTTTAAATGAAATGGAAAAAAATTAAATATTAGCATGCATTTGCATTCAAAACTGAAAACACTGGCGAGACCACAATTAGTCAGCTTAGAGCTTAGTGTGATTAATCCACAGGGGGGCATGGGCAGCTCTAATGGTGGGGAGCCGGCCTGGAATAACAAGCAGACTATTTACAGTGCGCTACCAGGACGGCTAGACACCCATTTTGGAGGAGCAGCTTGATCAGACCCCAGTCAGCCGTGACACAGCCCAGGAGACCCCGGGGGTCCCCCGGCACCGCGGTAACAGACAACCAGACAGGAAGGACATCTGTGTATCCGGAAGTGACCTCAGAGACCTTGGTGAACCGTGGGCTACTTTCAAATACATTGTATCATTACTTTAATGTACGGAAATAGTGTCAATAGTCGTATCACCTATTTACTGCTTATTCATTGTTCACTAATTCTTATATTGCAGGGCTATTCAAATCATGGTCTGCCAACGGCCAAGCGCTGCTGATTTTCCAGCCTTCCTTTACCCATGAGCCAGGTATGAAGCCTCTGTGTCAGAATCAGTAATTATTAAACTAGCTACCTGGGAGAAATGAAGACGCGCCTGGATTTGTAATCGAGGGCAAAATTTGAAGAACCCTGGACTATTGTCTCTAATTGCATGGCTGTCCTGCCTCCACCGTGCACCTGTTCCCTTCCCCTGCAACCATGACACAATTATTTCACTGTTCATCCGAACAAGTGACAATAAATAACTTGAAACTAGTTTGTAAGTTCTACTGCTTCCTTCATTTAATTAATGAACATTCCTTGCAGCTGTTTGTTGATGGCTAAATACTCTGTGACTACTTAACCTGGTTAGACTCTGACGTACCCACAACTGACTCTACGGTGTTGCTGGCTGGGTAGAACGGCAGCGCTTTGGCGTTCATGGTGGACAAGGCGGTGGGCGAGCAGCCGTCGGAGCCGATGCTGGAGGCCAGACTGGACGTGATGCTGGACGTGATGCCGCTTGCCAGTGGGTTGAACAGGTTGACGAGGTTCTGCGGGCGAGAGATCGCTTTAGCCGCTCATTATGTGCTCGTAAAAGCTGAAGCTGCTTCGACAGACAGATCCTGATTCAGAAACACAATGCTACAGGAACACAAGGGAGCTCATCAGGGACACAGCAGTATATATGAACACTGTAAATAATAGATTATTAGCTAAAATCACAACTGATACTCAGCCAATAAAACAAGGAACAAAATAATGTATCATCTTTCACTTTTGACTGTGACAACAAAAGCTGTTTTATTCAACAGTGAGTGCTTCAGATTTCTGCAACAGAGGGAATCCGTAAGAGGTTCAGTGTTGCCGACTGCCGCTAAAATGGGACTCAGAGATTAATGGCGTCTTTAGTGTAGTCCCGTTAAAAGGCTAACGCAGGCACTCGCCGCCAACCAGGCCAAACGCAGGGTGGCAAGTCTATCCTCACCTGCTTGTCTGGGTTCAGCTTGTGATTGCAGTCTATGGTGGAACCCTTGAGGATTTTTCCCTGAAACACAGACTGAAATATAATTAAAATGTTGTACAAGAAGAAGACAATTTATCAAACGAATATCAGTTTTGTACCTCCTGTTACTGGGACACTTCTAAAATTGATTTAGAGACCATCCAGACCCAGTTTTCAACAGCAGTTAGAAGCAGATGTGTCCACATTACACAGAATGGTCATTTCAGCGCGACATGTGCATCTGTGCCTAGAACTGAAAGGGTTCTAAAGTCTACACTGAACAGTGCAGCTACAATGCAGCCTCATATACCTCCACAGGGGGCCAAATGATTTCTAAGCATTTATGCTCATTCACACATGCCAGATGCAAGAAATTTCTGAAAACATTTGGACATTAAGAGGCAAATGTAAATTTAAGGAACAAATGGGATCTCAGCAACACAAAAGGTGTGGTTATGGTTCCTTATTTTAAAGTGTTTACATATCTTTGTTCCATTTATGCACACACACCACAAAAAACTAACAAGTAAAGCAAAAACACACCGCACCATGCACAGAGTGTTCAGGGAAATTCCAGATCTCACTCCAGCTCACTGAGAAAAGGCATCTGTGGTTCCACACCACACAAAATAAACAATAAAGCTGAACAGCATGCATCTTAGACGTGTCAGGGCCTCATTAAACGGTCAGCATAGAAACATCCAAACAACATTTAAAATAAGAGAACTGAAACAAAACAAAAAAAAAAATAGATGTGAATTTATAGTAAAGAAAAGAAAGGAAAATAACGCTTGGAATTAAAAAAAAAATCTCTAGTCTGCGAATGACCTTCGGTCAGGCTAAGGGCACATTCCCCGGTACCTGATCTTCACGCTCGAAACCGGGTGCTTTGCGGTAGTCGGATGTCGGGGACGAGAGGGTAGACAGGCTGGGCCTGCGATTCGAGCCCCCGTTAGCAGGGCACCAGGGCCGGCCGATTGGCCCGACCGCAGATGGGGGGCTGTCGCTTCCACAGCTTGAAGCTACAGGGCTATCAGAGCAGGAGACCTGGGGGGGGGGGCAGAATACCTGAATGAGGCTCTATTATCCGGCCAATGATGAGCCTCTTATTTTTAATGGGTCACAGATAAACACGGCTGACAGCCTGGGAGCAGGACGAATCCCATACAGTGAGCTGTGCATAACTGGGAGCAGAGCAGTAACCTCCTACTATTACTTCAGGCTGCCAATCAACACCTCAGATTCAAGGAAGAACTACACCACCGACCAATGAATGCCATCTTCCAAAGAGGCACCGCACTGAGCTTCCGGGAAGAATACATGCAATGACTTCATTAACTTCACAATAGCCGAATTATGGTGAGGAGGCCCTCAGTTTCTCCTTTTGATATCCGCATACACACCGGAGGACATTCAGAACAGCCCGGAGGTGTCACTTACGACATCGTGTCCCCCCAGGCCAGCTGCGGTGGTGCCTCCCCAGTCGCTGACCACAGCTTCAGAAAACTGGGAACAGGACTTCAACTGGGAGCCGGCGCTTATCGAACAGAGCAGTGAATTCAGTGTCTCTTCTGTGGAGGGGATTCCTAGATAAAGGAAGGCAGAGAATGTTCCAGGGGCCATTGTTCAACAGAGAAATAGAATGGAAAGGCAGAAGCTTGCAGAACATACGCTCCACATGTGCAAAGGCGCAGAAGGGTCCCCTGGGGCAGTAAGCGGTCTGTCGCATGTCATTGCATTTTGTGGATTTATAGATCTGTGTATAAAGGGGATAGAAAACAGAGGTTGAAACACAAGCAAACTGCAATACCAAAACTAAAACAAGAGACCCATTACAAACCACAAATACTGACGCTCCTCTACTTACGAACTTTCAGACATATGAACGAAGAGGACTGTAAGTCCAAATTGTGTTCATTGGGCTCCCGTTTCCTGTCTGCAACATCAAATTTTTTTTTCTATGTGCCAATTCTACCTGGTACGACTTCTGGCCGCTACTCCCGCCGCGCAGCAGCGTAGCGTGCGTACTCCCAGCATCCTAGCTCTTTGTACTTGCGTATAAAATTATGTCGAATAACGAGTTACGAACATTTCAAGTTCTGAACGACCGTTCGGAACGTATCTCATTCGTAAGTAGAGGACCGTCTGTACAGGCACAAAACCTTTCATTAATATTTCTCCAAAAATTAATAACAGTTTCTTACAGTAAAAATTCACGACAGGCTAATGATGAATGCTACTGCTTTGCTATGTCTGTCACTGCAGTTCATTCTCTGGCAAACGCGTTATAAAGTGCATTTTTTGTAATATTTGCCATTTCATAGTTTCCAAAAGAGGCATGAAACTACTATACTCAAACCCTACTTGCATGTTCTGGGGGTGATGTTTGGCTCTGAGGATTAGGAATGCCTGTGATCGGAAGGTCACCAGTTCAAATCCCAGTATTGTCCCTGTTCGGCCCTCGATCAAGGCCCTTAACCCTTTAACCTCCAATTGTTCCATGGACTGCCTAACCCTGCTCTCTCAATTGTATGTAGCTTTGGATAAAAGCGTTTGCTAAATAAAATATTTTCTGTGCTGTGTGGGACCCCTCAGGAAGATACGATTTCCTCACAAAATTAGGCATATTAGTGCCTTAAAACTGCCAAGAGTCAGTGTGTGTGACCGTCTGACTTATGCCTAGTGCTGCCTGCAATCCTACCATATATCAACTATCTAAAAGTACAGAAAAAAACAGAGCAAATCCATAAACAATGCCCCGCTAGCTCTGACTCCAACGCTGCCCCACCCACCTCCGGATGGAACTGCTGCTCAGTGCGTGAATGACAGTACTGGCAATTGTCCCCACTGTCACACTTCGTGGGCTCTCCCCACTCATCCCCATGCTTCACGTTCGGGCACGGGGTTGACCTGCCACCACAATCGAGCAGGAGGTTAGACATCATCATGGCGAGCGCCGATTGTGACATCATAGTTGGGCCATGCTCCGCCACGTACCTGTACTTGAATTTCCGCGGGTTTCTTCTTCGATCTCGGCTGTTGTGGTAATGTGGGCATGCATAGCCCTGCCTACACAGTCGTGGTGGTTTGGTGCACTGCTCCGTTTTGTAGTTTGCCAAGACGAAGGTCGAATCTGAGCCAGGGTACAGCAAAACAATGAACCCTTGTGTACGTTGCCACTGACAAAACCATCTTTCACACCCTTTGAAATGTCAAAAAATACAGTAATAGCACCTTATGCTTGTCCACCCTGCTGTTCCTTACCTTGCCAACGGGGGTCCTCAGTGAGGATCTTCTCAATCATAGCCTGACTAGCGAGTACTCCAGGCTGAAGATCAGGGATTCCCTCACCTGTGCCCAGCTGTCCATTCTGGAGGGCCTCCTGTGCTTGTATCTCTCTACAAAAACAAAACATTTACTTTTCAGATAATTCATACACGTCACTTTAAACTGGTCTAATACTGACAGTAAGATTGTGTGAGAGAAAATGGCAGAAAAAGACCCCAACCAGGAGTGAGCAGTGATACGTAACTATGTCTTAAACTGAAACCTGGATTTTCAGGACACCAAGCAAATCGTTTGCTTTCATTTTCCGAAACAGAACACATGCACAATCGAACGTTAAATGTCAGCTGTCCTAAGTCAATATTACCATAATTTGAAAATAGTTCCCATTATAAGTAATAAGTAATTAGAGTTGGTGCATCACTAATCAAGATTAGCTGTTACTATTATCAATTGTCCCCAGTATTTCTGAATTCCTTATTATCTATATTCAAATATGTAAATCCTCAAACAGAGACTACTTATTTGCAATGTATAATTATACAAAACTGCAACCGTTACATGTATGTCCTTCAGTTCTGATTCTACAGATGGTTTGCTCAATCACCTTATTTTGCATTATTGTTTATTATTACATCAATCACAGTGAAGCACTTTGAGACTAATCTCCCTTACACAAATGGCCTCCAGTAAATTACATTTCACCGCATAATTTTTCTTTATTTGAAAACCCATATTCGCCATATTCCTCTCAGGCATAAGTTAAAGATGGCAGATCATTTTAGAACAATACCCAAGAAAGATGCTGATACCTATGGAAATTACAGATTGATTCTTTCATAACAAAGAAAAGCATCGCACTAATTCCTCGAGGGCCAGTGTGTGGGTGCCTGGCGGAATGGCAAATATTCCGAGAATAACAACGCAGCTGATTCCTAGCCACATCTACGTACAAGCCTACTATTACAATGGGATGATACACGGTTAACATTTGTGTTTGCACTGTGCGTTAGCCCCCTGCAGCATTTTCATGTCACCTCAGGCAAGAAAGTGAAGTAGAAAAATGGACCACCAGAAGCAGAACAACACCTCCTGCTGTCCCCACTGCTTAATACTGTTCTGCAAATACAAATACGGATGGTTCTGGAATTATGAGGGCTGTGAATTTCAATCATCATTTAACATTTATCATCGCTAAACATTTGCTTACAATAAAATGCTTTTTTTTTTTAAGCATTGTAACACCTACTCACGCATAACCCAAGGGTATCATTCATGCCTATAGTATACACTGCATATTTTCACCCAGGGTGAAATCCTAAGGCAACAGGTCAATAGCTGCTCCATTGGAATCAATACGAACATTTTCAATGCATTGCATAATGTGCCAGGTAATGTTACAGTACATTATTTTGCAAACATATAAGGTAATTACAGTTGGTTTATGACTCACTGATAAAATATGCACTGGCCCCTAGGCGGGCATGATAACACACAGCTGTCATTTTCTTCCTGACATATTATGTAGATTAAGACATAAACATATTGTGTCTCTAGCTGACTTAATGAGAACCATGGAAGAACTAACCTATTTACATTTTTCAGAACACTATCTGATACCTTAGAAAGGCATGGTTTTGAACAGGTTTTCGGCTATCTAGAATTAAATTATGATAGAAGGACTTACGTTATGTCTTATTTGGAGCTCACTGGCTACTTTTACTTCTACAGATGCGAGACTCTACAACATTGCAAATTAGTTTATGTACAATGCAGACTTAGCTGGGGCATTTTATAAATCCCCAAACAAATAAAAGGCAGAGTAACTATGAACAACTTGGGGAAAGTGCAGGCACTTAATATAACTTTACATAAGGGTCACTTACATTCCAGCATAAACCCTGTATGACAATGGTGAGCACTGACTGTACATCACTGAGGAGGTGTAAACACAAATCAGGGTCTGCTGCTCTAGGCGTTATAAAAAGCAGAATTCTGCCTTGATAAATCTGTAGACTTACCCTCCAGTACAAGGTAAGAATCGTCAGATTAACCCTTACACAGTTGTTACATTCCACCAGAATCTGTAGTTACATATTCACTGAGAGGAGGCACACCTGATGTCACAGACGGGGGGGCGCACGTCATGCGGCCCATGTGCGAAGGCACAGTGCTGCCCGTTCTTCACGCAGTGGCCTCGTGCATCCGTCTCGTGAATACAGGAGCCAGTCTTGTAATAGCGCAAGTGGTATTTTCTCTCTGTGTCACCAGTGGTTCGGTGCAGGTAAGGGCACCTAGACACAAACGGAAACAAATAAAGCGGATATAATGAAATATGGGGGTTTGTATTTAATTACATATTCACACATTTATACAGATATGTCCTTAAGGCTACAATCTAATCACCAATTCAAAGTTTATAGAATTTCAAATATGAAAATCTGTGTACTCAACAGCAAAAACTGAATGATTTTACTTCTAACACTGTCAAACTACAAAACTATTTTAACTTTTTTCCTGTCTTGTGATGCAAGTTTCCCAATCTTATTATCAAAGTGATACCCTATACATTATTAAAAATAATTATTTTATGGTTTTTTTCGATAGCAACACATTTTCAAAACTAGTTTTTACGAAGATCGTTTAACTTTCTAAACACAAACGAGTCTTTTTTATGCAAAATTTTATAGCGGCATACTCTCCTTTTCATCAAAAAACACACAATAAAAAGAACAGAAATAACAATCAAGGCTTTTAAAATCAGCAAACCAAACAATGAGAATTACAGCCCTGCTTGGGGCGAAGAGGGGGTGTGTATCTGCGCTTCAGTAATGCGCTGACATTACTTTCCCGCTATACATAGGTTTTAACCAACTCTCAAACCAACAAGCTCTGCTTTTGAATAATTACATAGCATTTTACCTATAAGTAATCTTGAAAAATAAAACGAAAAAAAAAAGCTTCGTTACCACGCTTTCACAGAAAACAAATAAATAAAATGAAACTGACAAGCGACACCCTAAACTTCCGTATTACAAAGCAGCGTAAAGCCACTGTGTTTACACAGCGCAGGGAATTAATTGTATCGTTAAAAAATATATCGTAAAGACAGATAACACAGACATTTTAACTACTCGTGTTAGCATGGGAGCTATTTGGAAATGTATCAAATTTATGCAAAAAGAGTAAACTATGTAACAATTTAACACATAAAAACATCGTTTATCTTCATCTACTTTCAAAACTATTACGTTTAAAATACTCAGGGAAATACAATTGTACTTTAACCAATTAGCATGCATTAGGACGTAATACTTACTCGTCTCCATCTGGGCACAAGCCCGTAGTTTCGTCATATTTTGTACAATAAACATCGGGACTGTAGTTAAATGTGCCATCTCTTCTCCTAATGGGGCGTCTTCTACGCTGGTTTAGGAAATGCCAGTGAAAACATGTGAAGGGTCGATGCTGGGTGCACTTGTGTTGCAAGAAGAGTGGACACTGCTCGGTCCTAAACTCCTTTAAATAGCTGCAAAGTATTGAAAGCGATTATTAGAACTCAGTCTTGAAATAACACTATCCTTGTTATCTATGTCAGTGCAAATAATGCATATTTGACACAATGCAGCCGTCAGAGCGCAGCTGAATCCGGACAAAAGCTAGCTACCTAGTAACATATTTCTGAGTGTGCCTGAAAAGATAAGCGCGCAAATACAGAACAATCCGACGACGTAAAGTGGCACGATCGCATCCACTTCCCTAGACTAATGGAAATGATAACATAGCGAGTTCTTATTTAATAGTAAACATGCATTAAATTTCACACGTACTTCACGACATGGATGCGTCTCTAACAGCCGAGTAGTATTACTGTGCACACGAAAGTTGCGTACACACTTCAAATCAGGCCGAGACGTTTCATGGAAAATAAACGAAAGTGGCACTTCGCTGCCTTGGGCGCAAACAAATTGTACCCTTTTCTATTCTGCAGCACATTAAACAACGGGACAATGAAAAGCAGCCGATTTTTCAAAAACACGCAACTAAATGCATTTGTTTATCAATCTTTTACTTGTCTTGCTACTATCCTTATGTACATTATGAGCAGCTATCTTAGTCCATATGGGAAAAGCACCTATTCTAAATTACATTTAGCAGTTACAGGCCGTGCGTATATAGGACTGCGGAGGATATGTAATATATATTTATGTTCTCCTTTTACTTTCTCGCTTTACTTACGTATAGTGGGTTGGTTTCTCTGTTTGAGGAGAGGCGCTCACTGCAGTTTTCGAAACCGACGGCATTTTCAGTCAAAACAATGAAACGCGCATGCGCGTGCAGTCTGCTTCCACTCCTGCACGTCGGACACCGCTGCAGAGCAATATGGACAACAGGCGGGTGGGAGGACGGACGGAGAACAAAACGGGCTGCATGTTAATGCAAAAAAAAAAAGAAAGAAAAACCAACAAACCTGGAAGAATGGATGGCCTAAGCGTTTAGGAAACAGTGAAAGTTCCTTTAGAATAACCGTATGAAGTAGGCTACTTAGCAAAATATAAAGTAGATGCCCCATAAGTTTAACATCAACTTTTAAAACACGGAGCACAAAAAGCGCGATAATATTTATGGAACCTGGATTAAAACGCATTCATGAATCGGTACCGAGTACTTACACATATGTGATGCGTTTTAACTGTATTTTTAACATTAGACTTCCATTGGTTAAAATTTAAATTCATATATGAAATATAAATAATTTTTACAGAAGTCTTTAAAAACACGGAAAATTAACGAGAACCTATGGTGATACATGTAACATGTAACGTAAAAGCAATGGCGTAAGCCTACGTAAAATGCGCAGTTAGTCCATATTAAATGATCTTGAGCGACACAGGGGCAGAGTAAAACAGGAAATGCAATCAACTTACCACTGTGTGGCGGTGTTCAGTGTTTACCTTCCAAAACGCCAATTTGAATGCGCATGGGAATGATTTTTTTGTGGGATGATGATTACTTCGCTGAAGTCTTGCGCACGATCCAGCTGAAACGATAACTATTTTGTCTCAGACAAAATTAATGTAAATTAGGATAGAATGTCCTTTAACGTATATGGTAATGGAGATGATAATACGCATGAATTTCAGAAGAATTGGAGCGCTGAGCGCATGCATTTCTTACACACGTGTTGATGACGTGTTTACACATTTATATATAATATATGCGTAGTATAATGGAGGCAGATTGTCAAAATTATTTAGATCCTGCTTATTAAGTTATTAATAACCTATTACTCAGCATAGGATCGGAATGAGGTACTCGACACTATAAACGCAATCCAGTTCATCACTAGAGGCACACTTACACACCAATTCACCCAAACCACAGGCCTTTGAACTCAGGAATTCCGTGCCAACAAATGGAGTTTCCACGCACACGCGAAGCCGGGAGCGGGATTCAAACTCAAAACCCTGGAGGTGTTACGCCACAGCGCTACCCACAGAGAAAATAAACCACATAGGATTACGTAAAATACGTATAATCTCTTAAAAGAATGAAAAGAAGTATATATCAGGATTTTTTGGGTACTTTAATGGGAGAAAAAAACAAAATACTGTGAGTTTCACCGAAGATATCACGGCAGGCTTGTTCAATTTGGTCAGTAAATTAAAAAGAAAATCAATCATAGTGGCTCATTGACATAGTTCGATTAGTATAGAGCTCGAAACATACACATGTTTACCATAAATCTATCATATTTATGCATGCAAAAAAACAAATGCGTACAGTTTTTATAATATTTATATGTTCCGGTTTAAAGCGATGGAACCCCACAGCGGTTTCTTTTCTGGGGGCGGGATCCTGTCCTCTGTGACGTATTAAGTAACGTCATAAAGGCTATAAAGAAGGCCACGCGCCTCCTATTTGGTTGCTTCGGAGTGTTGTGTTGAAGTTTGTGAAGAAATAGAGGGGTGGTGGAACCTCACGAATATTAGGTACGTGTTTAATGTTTTTTGTGAGAATTTTTCCCCGTTTGTCGAATGACATCGGATCCCTAAGACAAATTATCTGTGACTATTACGGTCGCTGGGTGTCATTTTTACTTCGGATGCTCCATCATATTTGAAATCAAGCATAGGGGGTGATGCGGAAAATTGTTTTTCCCCTTGTTTGCTGCCTGAAGCTGGTGTCCTAGCGAGTCGTCTTCGATTTAATAGTTGGGGGTTCTTATCGATCTTGTTTTTACCGGATTTGTGACTGTGGTGTTGTGTATAGTCCGCTCTTTCGGCAGCGTGTCATACCGGGTCGGATTTCGCAGCCCAGCTGCTTTGTGGATCGTAGAAAGCGAGTCAGACAAAGCATTTGGGCTCGTAGATTTTTGTTCACTTGAAAGAGACGCCATGTTGTAGCAGATTTTGCACAGAAGAAAGGAACGAAACGTGTCTGGCCGACATCGTGTAATGGTGGCTAGAAAAAGGCAGGAAAAAAACACTAACGCGGTTTCTTCAAAAAAACGATGGAAATGTTTGAATGGACAATCTGTTTTCCTTGCTTTTAATGGTAACCTCGCGAATTAAGTTTTACATATATCATTTTGATCTCCCGCCTAGTCGATTTAAATTTGCTGGCTGGCATAGTTACGATGCTCGACAGCGAAGCTTAACTCTACAGTCAGTGTAGTTTTATATAAAAGATGCTTGGCAGTATTAAAACAGTTTTTGAATTATTTTAAAGCAGTGCTATTAATATCATATCGCCACTTTTTAAAAGAAATATTTAAATGCACATAAAAAAATATTAAATATTTTCTTAATTCATGGTTTTCTATCAGCTATGGAGGCTTTCCGCTTAAGCGAACTGCGGATATTAAATCCAAAGAATGACAAATAGTACCATATTTTATGTCATGCATGGGTCTTTATGCCATCTGCTCGCTGCCCGCGCCAATAAGCGTACAAAGACATGGTCTCTTTTTGCGAAACTTGGCGGGTAGGATTCTGTATTTATTACCTTGATTTTCTTTAATTAAACGTAAGTTACAATTAGTGACACTGACCCATTGACTACCAAGGCTTATTTTATTATTATTTTTGATCTAGGAAACGACTGCAACTATATAGTTTAAGAAGGTAGGAGTATTGAAATCCGTGGTGGTTATTTGAGATTTGGCGCATTTAGTAGGTCTGGCGGTAAATCCTCGTATTTTTAGGGAGGTAGTTCTGAATTGCTATGGTTACAATAGCAATGTGCGCCCCCCGTGCTGATTGTGTGTCGTTTTAACGTAGGGAGAGTGAGATTTGAGACGTCATGGCGCGTACAAAGCAGACTGCCCGTAAATCCACTGGTGGGAAGGCGCCGAGGAAGCAGCTGGCCACGAAGGCGGCCCGGAAAAGTGCCCCGTCCACCGGCGGCGTGAAGAAGCCGCACCGATACAGGTATGAACGGCGCCCCGGGTCAACGCGAAGCCCGATGAGATTAGTCAGTCATCTGTCTCTGAGGGGATTAATGGTGGATCTGGGTGATGAATAGGTACAGCCGGCTCATTTGATTGTTTGACATAGTTTGCTGCAAGATTTTAGTAGACTTGTTGTGTGTAGGCGAGAGGTTTTTTTTAATTCTATACAGGTTAAGCAGTTTGTTTTGCTAATTAGTACAGTGACATGTATTTTAATATATAGTGCTTGTCAGCATTTTGTGCGTTGCTTAGCCTTTGCTTGTATGTTCTTTTAGTTGCTATGGAGTTTGCATAATAGTTGATCTCATAATATTTGGAGTTGTGCCATATTCTGCAGTACTTCAAGCACATCCAGTTTTGTCTGCTCACCTACATTTTTCCCATGTACAGGCTTTTCTTTGACAAGCGCTGTGGGGAATTAATCGGCTACTATATTGTCTGCCTCCCTGTATGTTGACAAACCCTAAATGGTTCTTGATTTGTAATGCTGGCTACTCGTTTGTTTCGTGCAGACCAGGAACCGTGGCTCTGAGGGAGATCCGTCGGTACCAGAAGTCTACCGAGCTGCTGATACGCAAACTGCCCTTTCAGCGCCTGGTTCGAGAGATTGCGCAGGACTTCAAGACCGACCTGCGTTTCCAGAGTGCGGCCATCGGTGCTCTTCAGGTACGGAGCCTTATACTGTTGCCTGTGGAATGCTTTCGTAGAAATCGGATTTGTGTCACCAGAGTTTTCATTTTGATGCAATCCAGTCTCACCCATTCAAAGGGCAGCAGTGATACTAGGATCACACAATCTTTGGCATATATTTTCATTGCTGTATGTTAAGTACTGTAGTATAATTGCTATATAAGACCTGAGTTATGATCAAAATCAGGTGTAAGGCTGTTATCTTATGATGAAATCTTGGTTTGACATTGTTCAGTTTTGAGGAGCATAATTTACAGTAACTACAAAGCCCACACTTACACCAGAGTGAAAAACCCCTTTGCTCGGTCAGCATAGTTACCATGTTTCACCTTTTGGGGCAGTATAGTGCACTCTGATGAATGTCACTTGGAGTGTTACGTGATGCCTGTGTTGATGGTGTAACTTTCCCCGCCTCTCACAGGAAGCCAGTGAGGCGTACCTCGTGGGTCTCTTTGAGGACACCAACCTCTGTGCCATCCATGCCAAACGAGTAACCATCATGCCCAAGGACATTCAGCTGGCGAGGCGAATCCGTGGCGAGCGGGCTTAATTTTGCCACCTGCTTTTTAAACTTTTTGGGAATAAGCATTTTTTTTGATTATTGAACTGCATATATCTACATATGGAGGTTGAGGTTAATTTTGTATTTTTGTTAGATATTGGTAGAAAAAAAAGCTAGTGGTCTACAGTACAGAAGTAGCGAGCGTTTTGGTAAAACATTCCCTCAAACTCCCTCTCAGGTTTTTACCAAGTAAATTTCTATCAGGCATTGTTATACCTCTAGCTTGTTGTGCGGTAGGTTGTTGTATGCATGCTTCATAATGGGTAAATTATTTGTAGACTCGTAACCTCCATTTCTTTGCTTTTTTTGCATTGTGATTATTGGGTTGTAAATAAAATTTCCACTACCTCACCTTGCTTCCAGTGTTGCAGTTCTGTCCATAATCTTCTGGTAAAGTTTAAGGGGAAACTGTTGAAATGGATGGTAGAAGTTATCGTCCATGAGTTGAAGCGACAATGAATTTCCTTGTGTTGATCTCCACGGCTGCTCAGGCTGGCTTTATTCCAGAGTGCCTTGGGAGGAGGAACGGCATGTGCACTGATGCAGAAAATGCGGCAGTTGCTTTTTTTGGTGCGGGTGATTCTCGGTGACAGCGCTGTTCCACTTCATAGACTCAAGCCCTGTGTCTGTTGCTGTTTTGCCTGCTAAATGGATTTTAAACATGCTCAGAAATTGAAGTCGATGGTTTGATATGGGGCACCCCCATTCCCTACTTCCTATATATACACATTACTGCTAAAGGACACAGACCTTAACTATGGACATATTTCAGCTCTCCATCACTTTGTACTGGACAAGCAGTTGACTTCCTATACAGGCAACCCTCCAGTTACGGATGATAGCTATTCAACTCGAATTTATAGGTAGAGTGAAATGGTACAAAATCATAGGTGTAATTATGCCATATTGTATTGTGCCTCAAATTGAACGTGTGCAATGTTTTTATGAATGAAAGTACTGCATGTATTCATTATTCCAGATTTTAAAGTATTACACTTTGGTAGTCCGAACATGACCTGGGGTCTGTACTGCAGACCTTTGGTTTCTGTTGGAGAACCCTACATGAGACTCATTCCCCCGCATCCAGTTGCCCCCAGGGGTTAATCAACCTTTTTGAAAGTGGGGGAGTTCTAGGAGAGGAAGATGAGTAATTTCCCCATAGGTGTGCATAATCCAACAAAAAATGGGGTGACAGAATCGTGCCCCTTGGTTGCCACTATTTCACAAAGCACTCTGCAGGTGGAAATAAGGTGAAGTTCAGGGTGGATTTCAAGTTTACCTGGGCAACCTAAATACAAGGATCTGTAATTATGTAGAAAAATGCAGACATTCTGAATTCAGGATACTGGTGTGATTCTAGAAATGCCATATGTAGCTGCAAATGTTATGATGGGAAAAATGAGCCTTTAAACACAGATGAGTGCCTGATTTAAAAGAAGTGGAACCAATAAATACAATAACAGTGTTTAACCCAGTCCTCAGGGACCCACAGACAGCCCACATGTGTGACAGGCCACATGTGTGCTCCCTCCCAGCTCCTAACATGTCTGTAGCAGGTATTTGGTGTTCAGGATTGGCTGAGACCTGGGAGGGAGCAAAAATGTGAAATGTCTGGGGCTCCCCAAGGACTGGGTTGAGAAACAGTGCGATAAAGTAAATACTGAAAAGTCTTGTCAAATCAGACGTGGCCTGAAAGTACCAGTCAGTCTCACTTGCTGTGAAATTTGAAGGCTCATCACCTTTGCTCTAGCATAGACTACATTGCCTAACTGTTCAAACCATGGCTATGAACATTCTCTCTTTTGTAATATATAATCAACTCATACACAGTATTCCACCCCCCTTGTTCTCAACATTGTCTTATAAACTAGAGAGAGGATATTAATCTAGACTGTGACAGTTAAGGCTGCTGCCTTTTATACACTAAGTGGCCACTTCAGTAGGTACACCTAGCTAATAGTAGGAAGGACCCACTTTTCCTCCCTGTACTGAGCTGTTATTTTTGTCTCCTCATTCTCTCCTGTTCCCCCTCATTTTTTCAGGACTGGATGTCCATTATGGTGATCCCTGCAGCCACAAACTTCACTGTTTACAGGAGCCAACTGTTTGCATTAGTGAGTGGCTGTACCTAATAAATTGAACATATGTGTGGATGCTGACATTTTTAGAGCTGTACTTAACTAGAACCAATTCTCTTTCTCTAAATCCTCTGGTGGGATTATCCAATTGACTACGGAATGAAGGACACCTCACCCATACTATGTGACCTACTACCCCCACCTTCCCTCACTGGCTGACCCAGCCAAACTGCCACCTCTCTGCCCATCCATGTGTACACATGACTCAGTTGACTTTCGTATAAACAGAACACAAGTACTATTCCTTGGTGGTACTGGGCAACCAGAAGGCTCTGTACTCCCCCTATGTAATGTACATCAGGCAGGCTCCGTGGAAGCACTGTTGCCTAACATCTCCAGGGTAGAGAGCTGGAATCATGCCTCTGCGGTGTACAGGTAGAGTTTGCATGCTTTCTCTGTGTTACGGTCCAAAGAAATGCAGGTGATCCTGATTGGCTCTGCAATACACTGGGCTCTTACCCTGGGTGTACAGCAAGCCTTGTACCCTGAGCTGGGTTCCAGTGCTCTCTGTAATCCTGACAGTGATGTGTGACACTAAGATGATAGATCCATTTCAATGAAGAACAACTGTCTTAAATGGCTGTCATACAAACATAGATTAGCAATAGTAATGGTCAATAATCTTGAGCAAAGGTAGTAAATGGAGATACAATTCAAATACAAATTGAGAGGCATTTCTAAACAGATTTATCTTTTCGTTATAAACTTTAAATGATTCAAAACCATGTTTCCAGGAACAGATTATTGTTGGGCTCTGATATAAACATGGTCAAACACTTTTTCACAAAAGGGTGGTAGGCAATTACAATATGCTCCCTAGTAGTGCATCAAGAGCAGCTTGTAGAGTCACTAAAAATTGACTGTGATTGAATTGTGCCATGATTGATTTAATCTCCTTGACCAAGACAGAAGAACTGGGCTGCCTCCTCCCATATGCTATATTTGATTCCCTAATGTACAGTATTTCATCAGTACAAGTTTTCCACAGACAAAACGGTCATAAAAATGTTCTTTTTACTGCTACACAATAACATTCATAATTAAAGTTAAAAAGTATGTGTAAAAGGCTTTTGTTTACTCTGTGTTAATGACAAAGCACCGTTTATCTGCTTGTGTAAACCTGAATGTTTCTTCTTCCAACTCTTTCTAGATGGCATCATTTAAGGGCATCCATTCCAAACACAAATTGTCAGATTCCATTTATAAACCAGGCTGTGTCTGTACTGTAAGCTTAACATGCATATAGCTTGTCATTTATGCCTCACTTTTTGGCAATAGGACAAACAACCACAGAAACTTCTACCCAATTCAGTATTCCATCTAACTTGCAAGTCAGAGTGAATTAAAAATGACCAAAGAATCTTCCAAAGGATAACCTTCAGTTTCAGCAACATGCATTATCCCATAATATCCTTTCACACCAATGCAGTTAGCGCAAGTGCTTCCATTTCCAACTATGAATCTTTTTTATTTGTGTCATCTTCTTTGTCCTCGTCTAGCGACAACCCAGACAGGTGTTCATAAAGTTGCTTTTCAAGCTTTTGGTCTATTTCAGATTCGTCTCGGAAAGCACACCACAGCAAGAAGCAAACTATAGCCAGGCTGACCGGAAGAACTTTCCACCACGGCCGCTGGTGTTGGCTCCCAAGGGAACGGTCCACCCTCCACGTGCGGTGGCTGGCTTTGCTGGTGGAGAATTTAATAGGCTTCCCCATGTCCTCTGTGTTTTCAGGGCTCTGTGATTTGCAACATCTCTCACAGGTGAGGAACATACTCCGCCATGTGACTTGACTCCTGATGGAAAGACAGCAAATGGCAATTAGAAAACAATTATAATTATATTATATATATTTTTCTTTTGCATTAAAAACAAGGATATCTTAATACTTTAAGGTTTTTTTGTACAAGTTTTTGTTATTATAACAAAAGGATTAATAATTTAGAATGTTATCCTCCAAAAATTAGTTGTCCTCAACTGATGTAGAATATTTTCTAAAATTCTGGAAAGAAAAAAAAAATCATTCATTCATATTTTTTCATTTTAACGTCTTTCCCGCTGTTATATGAAAACATCAGAACCGGTGATACTGGCCGTACCCAAGGTCACGGGTATTGCCTCCATCTTTGCCTCCATTTCTGGAGTGTACCGAAATAAAGGACACACTGCCCTAGCTGCATAGAAACGGTAACAATAATAACAGAAACTCAGCTAGAAGGAACCCTAACCGGGATGGGTAAGTTGCTGACTTACAGACAGTTTCTACATCTCATCATGACTCTTCCCTTCCTCCCAAACGGGTATACGAACTATAAAACCAGAATATTCAGATATACATTTGAATTCAGCACACACTTACATTAGCTTTGTTTTCGATCCACCAAACAGTGCTTCATAACAGGATCCCGCAGGTTTAAAGAGGCGTATTCCATTCAGAGTCAATCTAAACATTGTGAGAAACGCTGTTACACATGTAACATTGCCCAATGCGACCCTTAACATCAACCGGCGGAAACTGAGGCACTATATGCAGTCATTCCGACAGGACGATTTTAACCAGAATGCAACACCATCATATGTAACAAAAGGAAAATACGGTAGTCTATTTATTCATTAAATGTACATAACAATTTATTTTCAATATTTTTTCATTTGAACACGCAAAGCGGGTTTGGGCATGTCGAACACGGAATGATTTGTTCCGAACACACGTGGTAATCGTACTGCATACCCCATAATGCAGTATGAGAGACAGACAGCCTATCAGAGATGATAATGCGTTAGCGCCACGTGCGTGCCTATCCATGCTGCACGGCACGCGGGGAAGTAGGTAACTTTAAAATGAGATTTTCCCGAGTAACCTACGTCGAGTGAGGCACACGTCTAACCAGCCGGTCCTTTATGCTTTTTCGTGCTCCGTCGTGAAACGTGGTAATATGCCGCTGATACAACATGTATTTGAAAACATTTCAGTTTCGGTTGTTGTTTTATGGCTAACAGTATTAGCAGGCTCACGATTTATTCGGTTTCTGGATTAGAAGCAGATGGTATTTGAAACAATATAACATTAACTAATCATTTTCAAGCTAGATGGAAATGAAGAGTGAGTTGAATTGTACATCTCGTTGCTGCTGTCGTGACAAGGTTTAGTCGCTACTGACATGGGTTAAGTCTATGTGCCAAAATAGTTAACATTTTACTTTTTTCTCCGTTTTTCCACTATTTTTCCATTCTATTTTAGGTGTCACCAAACCGCACAGTATGGGAAAACGTAAAGACTACGAGGCTGACACAAAAACAGAGGTGAGTATATATATGTTCGTAACATTTCGTGCATCTATGTGTGAAATGATTATGTTTACCAAATAACTGCTGGTCCAGTTAAGCTGTTATTTATATAGGCATGTGTATATAGCCATTATGTGTCCCGTTGTGATTTCCCAAAGGCGAGCCCAGTACCAAAAAGGCTAAAAGAATCCAAAACGTCCAAAAAGACACCAGTGAAGGATAAGAAGGAGCCAGTACGGCGTAAAGGGAAAGATGCAAAGACGGAAAGCGAGAAGAAGCCACAGAAAAGAACCACCAAGGCAAAAGTAAGTGAAATGTCATTTTTTTCCCCAGTCCGACATAGCACTTTTTACGATTGAATTTTAATAAACTTAATTATTGCATTTCGGGATACCAAGCCGTAAACCTCGGGCACATCGTTTAATGAAAGTTCGTTCAGTAGTTTGGGACTTGAACATATTTTAATTTCGATAATTTTTCAGCTCTGGCATTAGTGGGCCCACTAGGGGGAGCTGTACATTGTGCAGCCCATGAATTATACTGCAATTGGATATTATGAGTTTATAATAACAATATGAATGTTTACTTGATGTAGCGTTTCTGTCCTGATTTTTATTTATTTTTTATTAGATTTGTCTTCAAAATTTGTAAATGGGCCAGAAGGCCCATCAATGCTTTACCAGAAACCAGTACACAGATAAGATGCTTACTTTATTTTGGCTAACATATGGGTAAGGTTTTAATAGGCACCAGGAGTCACTGTGAATGCAGTATTAATGCATTGATGGCAATTAATCATGTCTAAACGCAGATTATCTAAATGTATTCTGTGTTATGTAAGCAAATTCTGCTACAGACCTGTCATATTGTAGTTGGTGCCGTTCCAATCAGTTTCTCAGTTTTTAAATGAATTTTCTGCTGATTCCAGGACAGAGGTGTGGGTAGGGGCCACCTCAAGTTGTGCATCATTTATATGGTAAATCTGAGCAAAGGGAATCAGTATAACATTAAAACTGCGGGGACCCTCTTTAACGGCCTACAGCACGTACTTTGACATACCACACGTTTAGTTTTTCATAATGGGCCAATGCATTAGCATACAGTTTGCCCATCAAAAAAACAATGGGACAGTTTGTAATCCTCATTGCAGCAGAATCACTGTGAAGTATTGGTTTTGGTAATCCTACACTGGTATTAAAATAAAAGCGTAATCACTTTAATCGATGTTACACTTGGGTAAGGTGGAGTGTAATTATTTAGAAAAGAGAGAAAATGTGACATGTAATATTTTTCTCTATTTGTTATACATTTGTCAGAGTAACAACGCAAACAGAATGACATGCCGCTAAAACCAACGCATTTTACTTTTCATTTCAATTAAAATGCAAGGTTGCCAACTTTGATCTGCTGGCTGGAGTGAGATTTTCAATTTCAGACAAGTCTGCACGCACATGCACAGGCTTTTGCATATATGTAACATTTTTATTACCTTAGAAATAGTCTAAGGTAGTCTAAGGGTTTGCAAACTACCCCCAATGCTTTTGATGTAGCTAACCTTAGGTATATAATGGAATAATATAGATTTGCCGTAGGACTGGGCAATATTTTTATTATTTTAATGAAATTACCTTTATGATTTCTAAATTGCTTCAGTTCATTATAACTGATGTTTCATAAATATCACTGTAATTATGGAAGTAGTTCAGATAATCACAAAACAAAAAGATGGTTTTTACACTGTGCAAAGTTTGATGCCATACCACAGCGGCACTACCGTTATGCATGAGCACCTGAAAAGAAAACACACAGGCATGGACTGCCAGAGTAGGTAAAACCACCATAAGTGCTGTCTATTCATGTTTATTACATTTCCATTGGTACAGAGAGCATTTTTGTCCTTTTATTTAAAAAAAAGATGTCTGACTAATCTGCAAAAAGTAGATTTCTACCTAGTTTAACAACAATATCTCCTTTTTTAAAAGATGATGTGGCTACTAGGGGTGTAAATCACAGCTTTCCTCGCGATACAATACAATATCAATTCCTTAAGCCAACGGTTAGATTTTTTTGATACCTCAGAAAGTCCCACAATACAATACGATTCGATTCAGTTCAATACTGGGGATAGTAGTCGAAATTTCACACAATCCTTTACATTTCAATGAATTAAAAAAGGCAAATATAATTAGTATTTTATCATATTTTATTGGGAACTGTGAACAAAATCTAGTTTAGTCAAGTATGTCCCATAAATCAAGCAAAATAAAGTGCAATAAGGTAAAAATAAAAACTTTGGATGGATGTAGATTAACATGGTGAATAATTTTTATTTTGAATCATGTCTTCTCCAGACAAATACAAAAATGTAACCAAAAGTATAAAAGTATGTCCATAACTGTCATGACCTGCTCGTATGACCCTCTCGTGTGCTACACCCTTCATTAACTTCGTGTGCAATCCCAATTGTTCCCAGTTGTTTCTTATTGTTTCGTCTAGTCCTGTGTATTTAATTTCCACTTCAGAGTCTGTCACCCAGATCTTTCATTGAAGTTTTCCCCGTGTTCCCCGTTTGTTGGATTTCCGTCTGCCTGACCCTGATTCCTCGTTCCCTGCTCGCTCGCCCTACGCTGCGATACAACGATAACAAGTAAAATTAAGTGCAATAAAGTCAAATAAAAACATTGCATGGACAGACATGTAGAATGAGGAAGATAAACATGACTGACTTCTGCGGTGAAACAAGTATGTTAGTATTCTTCTTTGAGAGGTTTTTTTTTTTAAAGAAATTAAATGGTCAACGTGTTCATGAGATTGTGTGCTCTGAACATAGCGTTCTATGTCACCTGCCGTACTTAACACACGCTCTGAAGGTATGCTAGCTTGCGAGCTACTTATAAATGACTAATCTACCTACTATAAAAATGCAAAACATATATTTATGTATACAAATACTGAGTGTTCTTTAATATTATTTATTATTATTACTATTATTATTATTAATTTCCCTTTGGGATGAATAAAGTATTTTTGAATTGAACTGGGATTTTAGTTCCTTCACCGTTCTATTTCTCAGCTCGCTTTTCGGAGGGAAGTTAATGTCGTAGTTTTTATGAACAGTCCGAAAATGCCGCTCCACATTTCCCTTCTTCGGAATAGCAACGGTAGACTGACAGATCAGGCAAACGCACTTCGAATATGACATGGTGGAAAAAAAACAGTCCTCCTCCCATTCCGCATGGAAGTGGCAGGTTTTTGGCTTCTTACTTGGTCCAGCTCCCCCATTCATTTTTATACCCTTTCTTAAGTTTAGTAGAAATAAATTGGAGGCTAACTAGGCGACTCGGTAGCTTGCAGCAGCTGGAGCGGTTGAACGCGTCATCCATCCTCTATTTTTTTTATGCCATACGATCTACCCACACTACCTTTGCGACATATTGGGCAGCCCTGGTGTAGACCATCGTCGGAGTGGATCATGAAAACAATACTGGAACAGGCGATAAAATAAAAACGCATGTTTCGATATTTATGTGGTTACATCGAAGCATCGGATCATTTGCCGTTGAATCAATATATCGATACAAATCGATGTATTGTTACACCCCTAGTGGCTACTGAGTGACTTCTGTGCTTATTGCTTCCATGATTTACCCACACAGTAGCATGTGGCGTGCTCCACTAACTAAATTTAATAAGCATAAAGATTGCTAACTTTTGGGCATCACAATACACATGTCATTAATATTTTAGACATGCTACTAATCTGATTATCAAATTGTGGGTGAAAATAATGTCTGTATAGTGCTGAAAAGCTGCCGTCCATTATCTCAAGCACTGCAATGACATACAGTTTATCAAAATAAAATTACACTGTGAATTAGATTTGGAGGAAAATTAATTGTTTAGATTAATTGACCAATCGGGGAAATAGTCGATAGATGAATCCATAGAAAAATAGTCATTAGTGGCAGCCCTAGTGGCTACTCTGTGGAAGAGAAACTGTCATTGTGTCTCTTCTGAAGGGTTTTGTAAAGTAGCACTGCACTTTAGGGCCATCTTTTCAAGACTAATTAAAATGAAAAAACAAAATAAAGGTGAATCATTTTTAATTTTATGAATTGTATTTTGTTTTATTGATGTGCATTATTACTTAAAGAAGAGGAGGAGAAATTGGAAAGTTTATCCCTGTGGTAGGGCTGGACAATATGGCAAAATATTTCTATTGCAATCATTTTTGCATGGGCGTCTTCACATAAAATAATTAGTTTGCTCTGGTCCAAATCAGTCTGATCCAAGTGAACCCAAATGCACCACTACAAACCATGTGAAAACGTTCACTCTGCTAATTAGTCAGATGTCTGTGGTGGGAGCAAGAAAGTAAATATGGGAAGAAGGTCCTGTGCTCCAGACTACTGCATATTTCTAAGCAGTTTTATATGGAGCAACAGCAGATATGGGATTTGTTCATAGCTGGTTAATTATCTGGGCAATATACAAGGATACACTACTGTTCTGCATCCCAGAATGCAAAGCACAGCTGGCTATGGGAGCATTTTAGCTCAAACTCATGGAGTACACCTGGTAGTTGGGTCAGATAATGGTCTCATCACATTCCCACCACAAAAAAACGTTCCAGAGTTAATTTGGGACTGGACCGAGACCACAACCTCTCTATGGTCTTGGTGTGATTGTGTTGGTGCGCACCTAAGTGCAATGACTGTGCTCACACCTGCTCAAACGAATCACACCAAGGGGGAAAACGAGTCAGATTTAACCAGACTAAGAAGTTCAGGTGTGAAAACAGCCTAAAATGACGAGTCAGAACCATAGACACTATAGTCCGAGACTGATTCAACTCTGTAGAAATACCTCCAATTCTGGGACAAGACCTAGTAAGCGAAGAAGTGGTCTCAAGACCATGACCGGGCTCAAGTACTCAACACTTACTTTACATTTACTGCAGTTTATGTTTTCAGAATGTAAATCCGTCAAAGTTTTATGACTTTCCCAGTCATTTTGTGAGCATATTCAAACACACCATAAAGTTAATATTGCACAGTGTCAGGATTAGAAATGCTATAAAAAATACTTGAATGTTTTCGAACAGCAGGCAAGTTTTCAATTAGAACAGGTGCGAGTTTGTTCCTCCAGATTTATTTCTTTATTACCAAGTGCTGCTTTATGTCAATTAACTGTTGCTTGGAGACGCATGGTGGGCTTCCACGCACTGTGTTCCGTGTAACCTCCCATTATGGTCCGTCAGGGAAGGCATTCTGTAGGAAGTCACTTTTCACTGTAAACTCACTGC